GGACAGGGCTTCTCGAGAGAAGTGCTGTTCCTCCAGATCCTTTTACCCTTTCTCTCCAGTGTTCCTTTTAATCCCATTAAAGCCTCATTTCTATTTATGGCTAAAGTCACTCCTAGCAACATCCACTTGAAGCTGCTCAGCAAATTGGCTTTAATAGCTCTGCTTGTAGCAGGATTTGTCAGTCGGCTGACCTCCAGATGGCAGTGGTCAGCAAGCTGGGCCCCAGGGCCAGGACCCCTGGCCCCACTGTCCAAGCCCCCTCCTCCCCAGAGAGGGGCAGAAGATGAGGCATCATGGCAGCAGAAGCAAACTCACTTTTCTTTCTGTGCTCATGAGCCGGGACTTTAGTGAGCTGACATCTGCACATGCTTAGAGAATGTCTTGTCTGGGTTGGCAGACCTCTGAGCATTCAGAAAGGAAAAGCAGCTGTGGGTCATGTAGTGGGTGGGGAAAAATGCAAGTTCTGGACAGGGGCTCAGCAGAGCTGGGTCTGGGTCCCTGGTCAGCCAGGAAGCTCCCTGGGTGACGCTGGACTGCCATGGATGCTCAGCCTATCCTCCCTCACAGGGCGGTTGTTGGAAGGATGAAATGGAGAGAAGAACCTTGTAGGTTCTTTGCAAGAGGAAGAAAGGTGTAGGGATAATGTGCAGGAGCCTAAAACGGCCAAGCAACACCACTGCATTCAGGCCTGGGCTTCGCTGCAAGCAGGCTCTGGCCAGCCTGGCTGGTCATCAGGACTGTTGGAATGATTTTTTGCAACAGCTGGTGGGCACCAGCTTGGGGAAGGCCGCCGCTGCCTGGGGGCCCTGTTTCTCGCCCATCCTGGCTTGGCTCCTGCTCCTTTTCCTGCCGCGTCTGTGCCCCAGCGCCTGTGGGTGTGTGGAACTAGCAATTAGGGCTCGTTGCCACAGCCCCCCGCCACCGGTTGCCAAAGCGCTGGCACCACGTTCCCACAGGACGGAGCGTTGTGCAGAGGAACTGCTCGAGGACAAATGCTGGAGCGGCTCAGGGCACAGCTCGCCTGGGCTGGGCCAGAGTGTCGTCTGTGCAGTTCAAAGGAGGGAGGCACTGCGCTGTTTCTAGCATGGCGCTTCAGTACCTCCAAGGCAGCAGAGCTGCCTGGTGCTTCACAGCAGTCTTGCCATGTTAGAGTTTAAGATTGCCGCATCCAGGGAAAAACAAAAGCAGAATAAAGAGTAGCAGCCGGGCAAGCCAGTGCAACACACATGGAAAGCAGCAGAAAACTTAAATTGCAGAAAGCAGACAAAAATTGCATGGCCTTGTAAGAAGAGGGCCTCCACCAAGCACGCAGCAGGCATGACGCCGGCTTCACAACCGGCTGCCCCCCCACACTGGGATGGCTGGCCCTTCTCTCAGGAGATGCCCGGCTCACCAGGCTCGGCAGAGAATGACTACGGCAGATGGCCGTGGGGTCTGGGTCTCTGTAGATATGGGGGTGGGGGGGGGGCGATCATCAGGAAGCCTGGACCCCAGCTGTCCAGGTTCTGGATGTTGCCGGCGACATTTGGAACCAGCAGCATTTGGAAATGGAGTGGTGGCCAGTACGGGTGGAAGATATACCTACCTGCCCATTAAGGTCTCCTTCTAAAGGAGCCAACCCTCAAGGAGGTGAGAGGGATGGCAAATAGGAGAAGGACCTTCTCAGTGTCTATCCCCACCTGTGGAGGAGGCTCTCCAGAGTTTGTCTGACACCCTCTTAGCTTTCATTCAGCACCAGGCAAAAACATTTCTCCACCCATTTTAACAATTTTAAGATGCTTTTATTATCTTTAAAGGATTTAATAGATTATTCACAGTTGTTCTCTACTCTCCACATGATTTATAATGATCACTGTTAAATTATAATTGCTACTTACATTTTTAATTGATGGATTGAATCAATTGTATTGATTTTTGTATTTTGTGATTTTAAAGATCATGGTGTGTTTTGTTTTGCTTGGGAGACTCACACGGCGGTGACAGCCAGGTCATGTCACTTCCTATAGAGGGAGGGTTTTTCACCCAGAGGGTCTGAGAGGCAACGAGGGGGGAAACATCCTTGACTTGGTCTTGACCAATAGGGAGGAGCTGATAGATGAAGTTCAGATTAGGGGAGCTCTGGATGCGAGTGATCACTCCATCCTTTGCTTTGAGATCAGGGGACTGGGGATGTGCAGCAGGTCGAGCACTAGAAGCTGGGACTTCAAGAGGGCCAACTTTGGCCAACTGAAGGCCAGACTGGGGAAAGTCTCTTGGGATGGGTTACTGGAAGGCAAAGGAGTTGAGGAGAGGTGGTTGACACTCAAAAGGGAGGTTTTGGAGGCGCAAGCCTTGACGATACCTCTAGTCAGTAAGGTGGGGAGGCGGAGGAGAGGCCGCCATGGATGCGAAAGGAGGTGGTTAGTGGGATTAGAAGAAAGAGGAACCTCCGTAGGAAATGGGTACTGGGGCAAATAGACAAAAGGGTATACCGGGGGGAGGAGGCCCACTGCAGAAGGATTCCTCGCAAAGCTAAGGCTGATTACGAGCTGAGACTTGCCAAGAATATCAAGAGCAACAAAAAGGGCTTCTTTCAGCATGTAAATAGGAAGAGGAAGGGGAGACAAGTAGTGGGACCACTAAATAAGGAGGAAGGAGATCCAGTGACTGATACGAGGGAACAGGCACAGATGCTAAATGACTATTTTGCCTCTGTCTTCTCCCCAAAGCAGGACGAGGGAGATCCGCATAGGAGATTAGATGAGGCTGGGGACTTTGGGGAACAGATTAGAGTAGCCCCCCTTGAAATCGAGGGGCTCCTCAGGGCACTGGACCCTGTTTAATCTTTTCATTAACGACATGGAAGAAGGGGTGAACAGTCTGCTGATCAAATTCGCAGACGACACTAAAACCGGGGCAGTGGTCACAACTAAGGAGCAGGTAGTCCAGATACAAAAGGATCTGGACAGACTATGGAAGTGGGCAGGAGACAACAGGATGGCATTCAATGTGGATAAGTGCCAGGTCTTGCACTTGGGACATAGGAATGGGAGTCATAAGAACAGGTTAGGTGACAAGTGGCTGGAGAGCAGCACTTGTGAAAGGGACCTCGGGGTGCTGGTTGACTGAAGGCTGAACATGAGCCAGAAGTGTGGCTTCTAGATCGAGAGAGGTATTACTACCACTCTACGCGACTCTAGTGCGCCCGCAACTGGAGCATTGTGCTCAGTTCTGGGCCCCTCGTTACAGGAAGGATATAGCCAGGTTGGAGTCAGTTCCTCGTAGGGCCACAAGGTTGGTGGCCGGTTTGCAGGGGAAGCCGTATGAGGCGAGACTGAGGGAACTGGGTCTCTTCAGCCTGGAGAAGAGGAGACTCAGAGGAGATCTGTTGGCAACATACAGGTATGTGAGGGGGTGTCACATGGAGGTGGATAGAAACCTGTTCTCCCCTGCAGAGGAAGGCAGGACGTGCTCCAAGGGAGCCAAGCTCAGGGAACCAGGCTTCCATTTGGATGCCAGGAAGCACTTCCTGCCAGTCAGGACCCCCAGGGTGTGGAATGGGCTCCCACGGGAGGTCACTGAGGCCCCATCGGTGCGGGTGTTAAAGGATAGGCTGGACATCCACATGGTGGGCATGTCGTGAGCGGAGCTGGCTAGTGCGGAGGTCAGACTAGATGGCCCAGGAGGCCCCTTCTGACTCACTCTGTTTCTATGTTTCTATGTTTTGTTTTGTTTTTTGTTTTGATTGCTCTATGCTACCTAGAAAGCCTTTTGGATTACTTGGCAGCATATCAATATAATAATAAATACATAAAATAAGAAAGTCCTGGCCCAAGATGGGCACACTGGCCACTCCTTGTGGACAATCTCATCACTATTTGCACCAGCTGGAGCTTGGATGCTGTTTCCAAGATGGTCAATCCCTTACAGTCAGTGGGGTTACCCAACATGGGTAACCTGCCAGGCCTTCCTTGTCCAGCCAGGGAGGGTGGCCAGAGGCACTTGGGGCCCCTGTGTCCACTCTGCCTCTGGTGACCATGCCGGCTGGACTCTGTGGGGGATGTGACCTCCTGCTGACCGGAACCTGTGCCTTGCCTGGAGCCAGTCCCCATTCCCGCTTCAGGGAGCCTCCCCAGATTCCTGACCCTGTTTCTGACAGTCTGGTGTTACAGCAAAGAGAAAACCGAATCAGCAGGAACACAAAGGTGTGAGCAGCTCGTTCATGTCAGCATGGATCCTTTTACTCTCCTGTCCTTGTCTTCAGGCTCCTTCTGTGTGCACAGCTAATCCCCAGCGCCAACAAAAGCCATCTCTCTGGAACAAGTTTAGATTACATCTATTACAGCTGTCTCTATTATTTTTAAAGCACTATGTTTTATTAAAATTGCCAGAAGGAGCTGAGTAAATGTAAACATTCCTGGAAGAGCACTAGTGATTTCCCCGCAGCTGCACCAGCCAAACCAAGGACTTGCAGCAGAAAACAACTCCTTGTGCCAGCATCCGCCATGGATTGGGGTGCTGCAAGGCTGGGGCAGGCAGAGTGCCGGACCAGGGTACTGGTGCGAAGCCCGGTCCTGAGAGGTGCCTCCCGCCTGCAAATTTATCGTTCCAGAAGATTGGCCACTTACTGGCCGATTGATTTTCATTCATTTGATTTTCATGTGCCTCAGCATAATACCCTGGCCCGTGTGTAGGGGGCACAAGGACTTGCTGTCTAGAGATGTCCACGCCTTCACCCTAAGCAACTTTATGTGTGACAGGTATAGCTTTCCAAAAGTCCTCCTGCACATATGATCCTCTGTCCAGCTGAAAAGAGTCTCTCTTGTGTAGCGTTTTCCCCACAAGTGGGGGACGGGTGTGCATGAGCAAAACGGACCACTAAAAAGTCTGGAATGGGTCATGTATATTGGTCAACTGCCAGTGTTTTGCCAATGCATCCTGCGCTGATCAGTAACCTGTGTACTTATTTTGTTGCTGAGACTGGCTCATCTTACCTCTTTCTCTTTCCTTCCCTGACCTAGTATGTTGCTTCCATTGAATGAGTGGCTATGGCAGCACAAATTCTGGCTACCGCCAGGGATCACCTGGGAGGATATGAAGGAAACAGAAGAGATCCGCTACCCGCAGCCCCAACACCTCTTACTCTGCCTGCCATTGGCTCTTCTGCTCATTGCTCTCCGGTTTGCCTTTGAAAGGTATGCTCTTTGAAAGGGCAAGCATTTCCAAATAATCTTTTTTCCCACCCCAAACACAATTGCATCTTATGTAAGGATCAGCCAGAATTTCAGTTCTGGCATTAGGATTATGTTACATCTACATTAAGCTTGGGATTAACTTTGGTGGAACCTTTTCCTCCAGAATGCACAAGCATCCTCTCATGCTCAGCGCCCAGTCTTGCAAAAGTAGCTGAGCCGGAGCAAGTCCCCACGCACGTGGAAAAAAGGTGGTGCAAGCAGACCCTGCTTCCAGCATTGGAGACTTCTGTGGCTGGCGCAGGAGGAGGGCACTGCTAGCAGTCTGTGGGCCCACACCACATGCCCACAAACAATCCCTTTTCCATGCCATGTGAAGCTGCCATTTGGGCTGCTGGAACAGAAGAGGAGCCTCGGGACTCAATTCCTGGCAAGCACCTTGCGAACGCTCCGGGATTTCAGACCCTGCTGCAAAGTGGGCTGGAATCTGGGAGCCAAGCCCAGAGAATCTGATGGATTCCCACTCCCAGGCAGATTCCTCCCACATCCCTAATTTAAATCCATTTTTCCTCTTGGGAGGAACCCATAGTCCTACTGCCTATTTCATCTTCTCAACAACCCTGAAAGGCTGGTCAGGCTGAGAGGGAGTGACTGGCGTAAAATTATCCAGTGAGCTTCTGGTCAAGTGGGATTAGAACCTAGTATGTCCCAAGCCTAGTCCAACACCAACCACTCTCCACACAGGAATTGACCAAAATGTGCACACTGCTTGCATTTGAGACAGTGTTTAAAAATGGAGGAGAAGGAAATGGAAAGAGATGCTTTTGCTAAAGACTCGGGATGCTTTGTAGTTGGGGGATGCTGCAAGGCCCTGCGTTTTTACTGGAGGTACAGGGGCATGGAGCGCCTTTGATCAGCTTAGGGCGATATTCCAGGTTGGCCTCCATCTGGACAGAGAAGCATGGCCAGTGGCGCTGGGAAGCTGACTTGGTTTTGCTCAGAAGACTTCCTGCCACTTTGATTTCCCAAGCAGAGTTCTGTTTTTCCTGTGGGCTCTTGCCGTTCAGACAAACTGTGCTTTGCACAGTTTGCACATGCATACATATATGCAATGTGTACAAATTATTCAATGTTTACTATTTGTGGGGATTGGAAGTCTCTGGAAACTACATACTTCTAGGGTGGGTTGTGCAAATCACTCCAGAATGGTGGGGTTTTCAGCTTCCCCTTGCACAAATAGTTTGAGCAAGCCATGTCAGCTGTGTGCATTTCTTTCATGTTTTAAAAGTTGCTCACACTCTGGCCTGCCTTAGAGGAGCTCACAGACTGCCTTGAGTTGCGCAATGGCAAGTCCATTCCAACATGCGGCAAACAAAGCAGAATTGGAAGGCCAAATTGTGAAAAGCTGTTGGCTTCTCCCCCACTCTTGGATTCCTTCCACTTCCCTCACCCAGCTCCAGTGTGTTTCTGCTGGAGATGTCGTATTGAAAGAACCCTTCCCAGATCATCCAGTTCTGTACTTTTCCACATTTTTCTTTCTTTCATTACTCGAAACTGTCATCACTCAGGAGCCTTGTGGGAAATTGAGCCCCTACAAGCTGTAATGCCAATGAATTGCCTCCGCTATCAGAGGCAGCATACTGGGGCATTTCAGCAGGATGGTCCTGTTGTGCCTGGGCCTCCTTGCAAGCTTCCCCCGGGACACTGGGCTGGCAGCTGCGTTCTGACGCAGCAGGGCAGTTCGCCTCTTCTTGGACCCCATTTCAGGGTATGGGGAGGCCTCACATTGCAAACCTTGAAGCATTTCCCCTCATCTCCCTGTTGGAGACTGGCCAATGTGAGGCTGCATGATCCGCGTGCTCTCTTGGGCAAATCCCACTGTTGTTTGAGCCACAACAACAAGAGGTGTGCTTCCTGCACATACCGCCATCCCAAAGGACAAACGTGGGGCTGAAGATGCTTCTTCTGTGTCTACTCTGCTGCCCTGTGGAGGATGGAGAGCAGAGGTTGCAGCAGAGACTGTGGGGAAAGCAAGCGTCCACCCAGAGAGTCAGGCAGGGCGGGCCCTGGTGCCGGTGAGCTGTGATGGCTGCAAGGAGTTTGTGCCACACGCTGACACCAACCTGCTCTGCAGGGCAGCACATGCAGGCAATTTGCCCTCCTAGAGGACAAGCTGAGGGCAATTAAGCTATGACTGGCCACGTTCAGCTGACCCAGGGAAGATAGTAGAGGGCCAAGAACGATCTAAGACTGTGTACTCTTTGGGGCAACAAAAGACACAAAAACACCCTGGAAAGAGCAGTGATCACTGGCGGAGGGCATGGAAGACACGCTGCAAAGGAGGACGTGGTGAAAATCTCAAACCACTTCCAGATACGCGCAGGAGAGGCACAAGAGCAGCCGGCTGCAGAGACATGGCGAAATACACTGAGAAACCCTGACAGGCAGAAGAACAGCCCAGCACGATACGCTGCCCAGACCGAAGGACAGCAAAACAGGAGAGAGCTGCCCCAGGCTTGCTGAGGCATGAACCCGGCATAACAAATGCCCCCTCAGAGTGCAGCAACACCGAGAGGAGAAGGGCGCCTGTTATGGGAGGCTCCCTGCAGTGAGGGATGGGACAGTGTGTGCTGAGCCAGCCCGGAGAGGTGCCCGGCGTGCTCGTCTCCCTAGAACCATGATCGCACCAACAGGCGCATGCGACTCACACAACCCGCTGACGAGAACCCCTTCCTTCCTGTCCATGTGGGAATGAATGGCACAGCCAAGAGGAATATTGAGGAAATAGCTTGCTATAAACTGAAGCTTGCTATGAACAGCAATTAAAAGCTGGCTTTAGTTATGTCCAAGACAAAGGAAGAGAGGAGTGGATGGCAACTTGACATGGATGGCAAAAAGATTACAGATTACAAGGACAAGGCAGAGGTGCTTAAACTCCTGCCTGGGCTCAGTCTTCTCCCACAAGAGAAAATATGACCTGCAGAGAGGAGGAAGTACAAGGCGAAAGACCAGTGTGGCAGCCGCAGATCAACAGACAAATGGTCAGGGAGCACCTTGATGAGCTTACCGTGTTCAGATCTCCAGGACCTGCTGAGCAAATCCTAAAGTCATAATGGTGCTGACAGAAGAACTCTTTATCATCTTCGAGAAATTTTGGAAAATGGGAAGTGCCACATGACTGGAGAAGAGCTGGTGTTGTCCCCATCTACAAGGGACAAAGATGGACCAGGGAACTATAGACCAGTTGGTCTAACATCAATCCCAGGGAAAATACTGGAGGAAATTATTTTAAAAATCAGTCCACAAGAGCCTTGTAGAAAATGCAGTGATGAACGAAGCCAACATGGATTTCTTAGGAATAAGTCATGCCAAACTAATCTAATCTCAATTTTTGACTGGGCAACCTCCCAAATGGACAGCAGAAATGCTGTGGACATCATAGTTTATCTAGACTTTAGCAAAGCATTCGACTAAGTGTCCCATGACATCCTGATAAATTAGCAAAAAGGGGCTCGACAGACCTGCTGTTAGGTGGATCCAGAACTGGCTACAAAACTGGTCACAGAGTGCTCATTGATGGTACCTTCTCAAGCTGGGGAGAGGCAACAACTGGTAACAAGTTCACCACTTGGGGGGGGGGAGCAAAAAACCAAATGTATTGATACAAGATGGGGAATACTTGGCTCAACAACAATGAAAAAGAAGAAGACCTTGGAATTGTTGTAGACAACAAGCTCAACATGAGCCAGGAAGGCAATGCAGCTGCAAAAAGGTCCGGTGTTATTTTGGGATGCATAAACAGAAGCATCACTTCCAGGACAAGAGGGGCACTAGCACCCCTTGGGCACTCAGGTTTTAACAAGATTCAGAAAAACTAGGAAGGGCTTAGAGGAGGGCAACGAGGATGATCCAGGGTTTGGGAACTAAGCCCCATGACGAGAGGCTGAGGGAACCAGGCATGTTTAACCTCAAGAAGAGAAGACTGTGAGGGGATATGATAGCACTTGACAAGTACCTCAGGGGCCATCATGAAGAGGAAGGAAAAGACCTCTTCTCACTCATCCTTGAGTGTAGAACATGGAACAACAAACTTAACCTGCAACACTCCAGGTTCAGGGTAGACAGCAGGAAAAGTTCCTTCACTGTCAGTTAAGAGCATGGGACTGGGACTCAGACGATCTGGGTTCAAGTCCCCGCTCAGCCATGGAGCCAAGTGGGTGACTCTGGGCCAGTCACAGACTCTCAGTCCAACCTACCTCACAGGGTTGTTGTTGTGGGGATAAGATGGGGGAGGAGAGATGATGTAAGCTGCCTTGAGCCCTTTGTAGGAAAAAGGCAGGATATAAATCGAAAAACAAACAAAACAAACAACAAAGGAACCAGCTGCCTGGAGAGGTGGGGTGCTCTCCCACACTGGAGGCATTCAAGGAGAAACGGCAGCCCTCTGCGTGGGGTGGGGTGATGAACATCTGATGAAACAGATTTCAAATCTGAGTGGTATGGTGTGAACTGGTGCACTAGCAGAGGGGTTGAATACTAGAATAGTAGAGTTGGAAGGGGCCATGGAGGCCATCGAGTCCAACCCCCTGCAGTGCAGGACACAAGGTACACCCTCCCACTCAGGTGGCTGCCCAGCTTCTTTTTGAGTGTCTCCAGCATGGGAGAGCCCACCGCCTCTCCAGGCAGCTATTCCTACTGTTGCATTGCTCTGGCAGTGGGGAAGCTTTTCCTGATGTCCAGCCTGAATCTGGGTTGTCCCAGCTTGACTTGGTTCTTCCGTGTCCTCCACTCTGTCATCAGGGTTGACCTGGTGGCCTTTTGGCCCCTTCTGACCCTACTATCCTAGGTTTCTGTGGTGCTCCATAGTTGTTGTGATGTGTCATCTTGTCCAACTTATGGCATCCCCTCCAAAATGTGCCCCTCCAAGTGGTCCCGTCTGGGGCATCGGCATTCCACGGTTTGACACGAGGACTTTGACTTCCTGGATGGCTCAGTCCATCTCCTATTTGGCCTTCCTTTTCTTCTTCCGCCTTGGACTTTCTTCAGCATGATTGTCTTCTGCAGGGAGTCTTCCCTTCTCATGGTGCGTCTGAAGAACAACAGCCTCAGTTTTGTCATTGTTGCTTTCAATACAAGTTCTGGATGGATTGGATCTGGATTGTTTGTCTTGCTGTCCGTCCAGGGTATTCACAAAACCCTCCTCCAGCACCATGGATCGAATGCATCCATTTTCTTCTTGTCAGTTTCCTTCACTGTCCAGCTTTCGCATCCATCCATGTCTTATCTTTTTCTTTTCTGATATTCCAGTGGGAGAACCCCAAACAAGCAAGTTGCTGGCCAGAGATAGACTATTACTGTTCATGGATGCTATTTTGCAAATGTGGCTAGCTGCTTTCAGTGGATTTTCTTGCATGTATCAGATTGTGTTGCTGGGATTGCCCTTCCCTGAGAGGAAGTCCTATTTCACTCAGCAGGGCTTGTTTAGTAGCTGCTATCATCATCATCACCACCACCACCACCACCACAACCTCCTCCTCCTCCTCAGCTTACTTTAGACTCATCCCAATAACCAGCTTTCTGAGCTGTCTGCAGTATTAATAGCAACTATGTCAAACTTCTTCAGTACTGCCTGGGGATGATGGGGGCTGTAGTCCATCCTGTGTAATGCCCCACATATATCCTGCCCAAATGAGTTCTGAGAATTGTTTGCCTCTTTGGTTTAAAAACAGAGCCCATCACAACCTGCTTTTTCCTTGTTTCTCTGTTCATGAATGCTAGTGCCATCCCTGCCCCATCTGTCTTGGGTTTAAGTCACAATCCAACCCATGTTTAGGGGGAAAAAGTTACCCCAGACTGAAAACCCCCTTTACAGGGATGCAGTGTCTTGACAGCAAGAAGGTCAAGCTGTCGACATTCCCTTTCCTTGAAGGCACTTGCATTTCCCCTGGTGCCTCGGAATGGAGGGGGGGAGTTGTGGGGGGAGTTGAGGGTCTGGCTGCTAAGGGGGTTGTTTTGCATCATTGGGTTTCTTGGGAGTTCCCTTTCTGGGATGCCAGGAAAAGTGAACAGAACGTATATTTGCAGCCTCTTGGAAACTGTCCCGGACTGGTACCTGCTGCCCCATGAGGGGATACATTGTCCCCGCTCCCAGACATTATTCCAGCTGAGGCTTCAAATCCCTGCGCTATCACAACTGTGAGGGTTGACAGTTACGTACAAATATGGCCACAATAATCACAATAATACAAAAAAGGGACACACCATGTTCTGTGCCAAAAAAAGAAAGCAAAGAATTGGCCACCCGGCTGCTGGGTGCTGCTCCTTGCTGTGGAAACCGGGGTCATGGAGCTGGCCTCCTGCCTTTGCCATTGGGGGAACTGGGTACTTTCAGGAATATGTTTGCAGAACTCTGAATTTGCACAAAGGCATACAGATATGTTTGTGCAACAATCCAATTCCATCAGTGAGCACACAAAAACAACAGCTTTTATTTTCAATCCACAAGGAGCAGATGGAATAAAAGGTACAATATCCAAACATCCCTAATTGAAACTGTTGAATCTGATGAAGATGCTGGACCACTGAGTTGTGGTCCTTTCTTTAAGTATAAACTAGGATTCTAGTCCTTGTGATTCTGAGTTAAAGGTCAATTGCCTTATCCCAGGGCAGAGTAGCACGTCCTTTAGCTCATGACCATCAAACTGCTTTCCAAAGATTTAAGAAAAGAGAAATTTCTGTGCCTCTATTTGTTGGGGGCAATTATAGGAGAAGACTGGGTCTCCAAGGACCACTCAATGCTCAATATTTCCCTCCTGCAGACTGCCTTCCCAGGCCGCCTTTATCCTCTGGGGTCCCACAGGTGTGCAGTGCAAAAGACGCACTGCGAGGAGACAGCTCTCAGCATTTGCTGCAAGGCCTTCTTGTCCTTGTGGGAGAACCTGAAAACAGGGGAGCTCTGCTGACCTGACCACCCCCCCCCCCCCGCCACTCTCTTGCAGGAACATTGCTGTGCCCTTGAGCAGAAAGATGGGACTGAGGGAAAAGGCACAAAGGAAAGCGCTTCCGAACCCAGTGCTGGAGGTGTTTTATGCCACACACAAGAAAGGTCCCAAAGAGGTGAGTGCCCTCCTCTTGCTCTCACTGACTCACTCAAAGATGTGCATATGCTAATGATTGCTAATCCCTGGCATAGCCTTTCTCAATCATTGCCCTCAAGATGTCCCAGACAACAACTCCCATTGTTTCCTCTTTGTTTGACCTGCAGCAGTGAGTTCCAACAATAATGGGCATAGCTGCTCAGCCTTCTGCTCAGAGCACAGCTTGCAGCTGCAGTGAAAGAATGACTTACATGCAACAAGCTCACTTTCCTGGAATGCTCCTGCTCCTGGTTTCCTGACCCTTGGGACTCCAGTCATTGTTGGGCTTATAAATAGAAGCTGTTCCTGGAAAGATGGATGGCTCATCTCCCCCATCCTTTGAGGGGTAGCACTCCTGGAAGTGGTGAACTTGAGTCAGGGAGATATGTAAGCATTTATATCTCTTTGCAAAATATTAAAATTTGCCTCCTTTGCAGACCCAAATGTTGTTTCAGAAAATGTTTGTGTATCCCCAAACCTGCAGCCACATTAGGAAAATTTGAAATGTACTTAAATCTTTACTTGAAATGTGCAATCTTTTAAAAAGCCCTGCATTTTTAGACTTTAATACAGGGAGACAAATTGCATAGTTTTTAAAAATTTGTAATACACATGTCCTTGAACAATAGCCATTAATTAGAATGCCAGGGGAAAAAACCCACCCAGCCATTCAGCTCCCTCAGTAACTGGGACCTACCTTGGAGCAAAGTGGGAACCAAGTGCTTGAGGCTTGGAGAAAAGACAGACCGAAAACCAGCCCCTCCAGTAAAACAACTTCCTTCATCCTGACATGGCAGTTTTCTCTGGGAAGGGGTGTGTACGTGTACCCACACACAATCTGCAACCAGGCCCATTGGGCCTGAGTCTTTCCTTGCTTTGCTCGGCATGTTTTCTGGGCCGGGCAGCTGTCCATCAAGTCGTAGCCACGTGCTGTGCTGGAGCTGCACAAACTTTCTGCCTGCTTGTGTTGCAAGGATTTATCCTCCCACATAATGCAGAGATGTGTTGTGCTGAGCTAGGAAGAGGCAGGGGTTGCATCCTTCCTTGGAACTGGCGCCCACAAAGGTGCTGATTTCACACCTGATGCCATCAGGATCTGCTTATGGTCCCAGGCTGATCCTTCTGTTAGGAACTTCCCTGGATCTGCATCAGTCTCTCTCCTTAACAAAGCCACTGGGCCCTGGCTGGCTGCCTGACTTGCTTGACTTCTATGCTGCTCCAAGGTAGGCTGGGCTGAGAGTCTGTGACTGGCCCAAAATCACCAGGTGGCTCCATGGCTGAGCGGGGACTTGAACCCAGATTGCCTGAGTCCCAGGTCTGGCTCTTAACTGCAACTCCACGCTGGCTCCCAGGTCGTCATGGTTTGGGGTGGTGCTGGCCCACCTTAATAATCTCACCTCTGCAAGTTCCAGTGCTATTCCTATGGACACCTCTCTTAGCATCCAGCAGTCTTCCTCTCCCTCCTTGTTGTATTTCTTAATTTTAATTTTTGTAACTTTGAAGTTTTTTTCTAGGAAGCCAGCATGGTATGAAGTGAAGGGACTTAAGTCCTTGGCCAAAGTGCTTTATTTTTAGCCTTCTCACTTTGCCTTCCAGGAAAGGAGTGTTTGCAACCCCTGCCCATGTCAGCCATCTTGTGAGAGTGCCCACAGCGGGCACTCAGAATTCCCAGTGTGCCCAGTGACCCAGAGGTCTCCCGATGGTCTGCGAAGAGGAGTTGGTGCCTTTCAGCAGTGAGGTGCTTGCTTTGTGCTTTGTGGATATGGTTTGTCCCACTTGCTGCGGTGGTCTCTTCCAGGCGGAGCTCAGCAGCCTGGCCAAGCAGTGCGACCTGCAGCCGAGGCAAGTGGAGAGGTGGTTCCGACATCGCCAGATCGAGGACCGTCCCAGCTTGACCAAGAAGTTCTCTGAAGCCAGGTGACTCTGGTGGAGATGCAAACCGGAAGGCGGGAAATGTGTGCCTGGCTCGTTGCTTGCGGCAATTCCGTGTTCCGTCAGAATTCCCAATTCTGCAAATTTCACAGGGGACTTTGCTAACAAAATAAATGTGTATCTTTGGGGAAGCTGCACAGAGAAAGACGCATTTATTTATATTTAAAGGGTTGGATCCAAGATCTGCTTTCTTCTTGAGGAAGGGTTCTGCTTGCAGTCCCCCAGTTTGTTTGTTTGTTTAGAACATTTCTATGCTGCCCCATTTGCAAAAAGCCTCGGGGCGGCTTACAAAACAAATAAATAAACAATCGTACAACTAAGTTTAAAAATCCGGAGACATCTCGGCATAAATATAAAAGCCAATAAATAAATACAATCTACAATTAACAATTAAAATAACTTTTAAATAAAAGGTTCTTGGCCTGGCGCCGAAAAACAAATAATGACGGTGCCAGGCAGACCTCTTTGGGGAGTGCATTCCATAGAATGGGCGTCACCACAGAGAAGGCCCTCCTCCAGGTACTCGCCCTCCTAATATCATTCACGGAGGGTTCCTGGAGGAGGGCCTCTGCCGCTGATCTCAAGGGGTGGGAGGGTATATATGGACACAAGTGCTCCTTTAGATAACCAGGACCCAAGCCGTTAAGGGCTTTATAGGTGATAACCAACACCTTGAATTGAGCCCGGACTTCAATGGGGAGCCAGTGAAGCTGACGGAGGACTGGGGTTATATGATAACAACACCCAGTCCCTGTCAGCAACCTGGCAGCTCTGTTCTGCACCAATTGAAGTATCCGGACTGTCTTCAAGGGTAGCCCCACGTAGAGCACATTACAGAAGTCTAACTGGGAAGTTACCAATGCACATGTCACTGTTGCCAGGCAGTCGTTCTCCAGATAGGGACACAGCTGATGGATCAGCCGAAGCTGAAGGAAAGCACTCCTCGTCACCGCTGTCACCTGAGCTTCTAACGACAGCTCTGGGTTGAGGAGCACTCCCAAGCTGTGGACCCTGTCCTTTAGAGGGAGTGCAACCCCATTCAGGACAAGGTCCAGGTCCTCTGCCCCGAAGCCCGAACCACCTACCAACAGGACCTCCATCTTGTCTGCATTGAGCTTCAGTTTATTGGCCCTCATCCAGCCCATTACCTTGGCCAGGCACCAGTTCAGTACAGCCACTGCCCCACCTGGATTAGTTGAAAACGAGAGGCCGAGCTGGGTCTCATCAGCGTACTGATGACTCTGCAGCCCACACCTCCTGATGACCTCTCCCAGTAATTTCATGTAGATGTTGAATAGCAAGGGGGACAAAATGGATGCCTGCAGAACTCCATGGCATAGCTGCCATAGCGCAGAGCCATAGTCCCCCAGCACCACCTTCTGGAACCGGCCATTGAGATAGGAGCGGAACCACTGCCAAGCAGTGCCTCCGACCCCCATTCCTGCTAGCCTATCCAGAAGGATACCATGGTTGATGGTATCGAAAGCTGCTGAGAGGTCCAGGCGGACCAACAGGGACGCACTCCCCCTGTCTCTCTCCCTGCAGAGGTCATCGTACAGGGCGACCAAGGCAGGTTCAGTACCATACCCGGGTCTGAAGCTGGACTGAAATGGGTCCAGATAATCAGTCTCATCCAAGAGTGCTTGGAGTTGTCCCACCACCACCCACTCCAACATCTTGCCCAGAAACGGGACATTGGCCACTGGTCTATAATTGGTGGCCACCTCTGGATCCAGGGATGCCTCCTTTAGGACTGGCCGGACTACCGCCTCCTTTAAAGGGGCAGGTACCCGGCCGTCCCTCAGAGAGGCGTTGACAACCTCCAGGATCCAGGTCCCAATCCCGTCCTTGGCTTTGTTAAGTAGCCACGATGGGTAAGGGTCCAGTAAGTGTCCAGTTCAATTTTGGACACCCCTAAATCTCACATGAGTGCCCCATTCAGCTGTATCTCCAGACTGCCGAATTTGCAAGGGCTGCAGGGTCTGGGGTGGGACAGGGAAGGAAGTTGACTTCTGTGTCTGCCTGTTGGGGTAGATTTATTCTTTTAAGCATTTGCAATGCGCTTCTATATTTTTACCTCTTCTGAGGAATTTTGGTTTGTGGAACTACAGTCCTCCCAGTGAAACTGAGTTCCTGCATGGATTAGAAATGTGATATGAGCCAATGTGGTCTAGCAATTCAGATCTTGGACTGGGACTGGTTTTCGGGAGGCCCAGGCCTGCATCCCCGCTCAATCATGAAGCTCTCTGGGGGAATTAGGGCCAGTCAGTGCTTTGCAGCCTAACCTCCCCACAAGGTTGTTGGGAAGCAAAATGCAGAGGAGGGAGGAGATGATGGGCGTTGCCTCAGGTTCCTTGCGAGGGCAAGGCCGGGGATCCATGTTATAATTACATAGAAATAATTAAACAGGCAACAAATGAGTGCTGCTGCTTTGCCGTGGGGCTCAGGGCGCACAACCTTTGGCGTTCCCTTTCCACTCTCGGGTTTGATGGTCCTGTTACTCCCTGCCAGATATGCCCCGACCCTTCTTCTCTGTTTCTTTCTCCAGCTGGCGCTTCACCTTTTACTTGACCTCCTTCTGCACAGGCCTGGCTGTCCTGTTTGATGTGAGTCCCCAAACGCTTAAGTTCTACATCAAAAAGAGAGGGCTGGGATGCACTTTTAACAGCTCCAAGCACCCCCATCCCTGCCACGCTGCATGGGTGCTTTCCATTTGGGGTTGCAGGAACTTGTGGGGGGCTGGGGGGTAGCTGGGGGAATCTTGCAGTGACCAAAGGCAAGAGGGTCTTGTGCAGCTATGGTAGCTTTCTCCCAAGCAGGGTTGAGCAGCCTCAGACCCCAGGGGCAATATCCAGCCTTCGTGGGTGCCAGGTGGGTTCCCCAGCAGGCCACACCCCCTCCTTGTGCCCCTCCCCGAAGAACTGGGTTCCTCCTGGTTTTAACATTCATGAAACCTGACAGACAGAGCCTTGCCATCACACGCAGGTTGGGATAAGGCCTTGTCTCTCGTTGTAGAAGTCCTGGCTCTGGGACCATCGAGAGTGCTGGACTGGCTACCCACAGCAGGTATGTAGCAACTGGGAACTGTGAAAGGTAACCTGCATGAAGGTGTGCCTCAGGGATACCTGGGCACACGCACGCCTGTATGCGTCTCAGGATTTGGGGAGCTGTCTGTGGTGCTGAACTGCAACTCTGATTCCCCCCTTCCCCCCAAAATGGGCTTGGCACATTGGCTGGCTTCTTTAAGTTCAGACTACCATCCAGTTCTGATGAATCTGGGAAGGCAGCATGCCACCAAAGAATGGCATGCGCATGCAGCCTTGTGCCATGACTTTCTGACTCATGGTGGGAGTGCAAATGTCGGTCCCTTGTACAGACTTTCTCTCTTGCTGCTCATATTGCCACTCCAGGGAGGCCACTCCTCAAAGCTGAGCTCAGGAGTGGGGAGGTTCCAGGCAGAGCCAAGGAAGGCCTTCTTTGCAGTGTGGAGTTTGTGCTCCAGAGCTCTCATCATGCAAATCCTGGAGCTTCACGTGGTGTGGTTTTCATCGGAGGCAGTATACTGGAGAAACAGATGTGGGAGGGCACTGTCCTGTCCTGTTTGTGGGCTTCCCATGGGCATATCTGCTTGGCCCCATGGGAGAAGAACACCGGTCGAGCAAGGCTGTGGATCTGATCCAGGGCTTCTCTAGTTATGGGAGCCCTGGCTGTCCAGCCTTGCTCCACCTAGAGCATACATTCCAGTCACAGCTGGAATTTAGATGAGAACGTGGCCATGCCCACCTGCAGAGCCTTCTGTTCCATTTGATCCTCCTTCCCTCCCTACACTTTCCTGCTCCCCGGCCTCCTGCACCAGCATCCCATCTTTTCAGAGATGCTTCTTGTCGTCGGAATACTTGGTGAGACACACCCAGGCAAGCTGTGTGGTGTGAACTCAAGATCATCTTGTGTTCCTGATCACCTGTGTGGATGTGGAAGGTGGGCAGCACAGAAAGATGATGGGCAGAGAATGGATGCATCCCCACATAGTGCTGGAACAGAGCTTCATGGAAGAAGCGGGGGAGGCCACGCAAGAGAAGAATGCACTGCCCTGGCCCAGCACAGCCCTGAATGTACACGAGCTGAGCAGGGCTGTTGAGGGCAGCACGCCTGGGAGGGCACGTTCGGAGATGATGGCATGGGACAACAGGCGGGCCCAGACCTGCGGGTGCTTCCCTTTTGCCCGTGGTGCAATGGGAGGATAACCAGCGCGGGCCGGTGGCGGAATTCTGCTGGTGCAAAGCTGTTGTGCATTGTGCTTTGTACAGCCAGTTGTAATCCCAGTGGTACAACCATGGCATGTTCCACATGCGCACTTTATTATTCTGCCGCACAGCTGTTTGCAGGAGCGTGGCAGAGAATTCTTTGTGCAAGGGAATGTTGCAGGAGAGCCGTGCATGAGTGGTTTCGGTTTGCAGAACTGCAGCAAGATATTGCTGAGGATTGCTGTTAGAATCACCTTCTGGAACCTGCTGCCCTCCAGGTGTGCAGAATTAGATAGACAGTCTAGCTGAGGAATGCTGGGAGTTGTAGTCCAGGGTCAAGGGAGAGAGAGAGAGAGAGAGAGATGTTTCTGCCCATGGAAACCAAAAAGAGGAAGAAGGAAGAGATCAGGAAACAGCAACTTTTTTTACACATGAGTGACAGCAGCATTAAAATCGAGAAAACATTATTTAAAACAATATTTTTAAAAATATATTAAAACATAGCTCAAGTTGGATAACAAATGGGTTGGGTAGAAATAGATTACTGGACCAAGTTCCCAGGACTGCAGAGGAACCGTTAGGCCTGTTCAGTATTTCGGGAGGGTATCATATATGGGGAATGACCAGATGTTTCCAGCTTTGGTGTAGTGTATGGGGTTTTTATGAAGTTCCCCAAAAGAGATCATTGTTCTTCCTGGAGTGCTTGCAGCCAGTTCTTCAGTTCCCATGTGGCATCAGCTGTATTTCTCCTTCAGGCAACCTTGAGTGCCATTTTCTTGCTTGAAATGCAAGGCCGTAATAAGATTAGTCTGCAAAATGTGGCTTTGTGGGGCACCTCAGTTCTCACTCACCCCATGACCACAGGCTTTTGGTCTTCACATGTAGCACCTTCCTCAAACCCCTTTCTTTTTCTCTGGCACTGCAGCCGCTGCTGCCCTCCATCTTCGGCTATTACATGCTGCAGCTCTCCTTCTACTGCTCTTTGGTCTTCACCTTGCCCTTTGATGTCAAGCGGAAAGTGAGTCAGCCTGGACCCCGTGCAACCCATGCAACCCCATAGCTCCTGCTTGGAAAATGGCGGCCGGGCATCCCGTTAAGGCATGGTGTTGGTGGCAGGCGGGAGGAAAGACCACACCTTCTTTCCTGGCCCAGTCGGAGGCTCAGAAAATGCTCCCTGCCAATGTTCCCCCTTCACCAAAAGCATCCCGCCAGGGCCACTCCTCTTTCTCCGGGCTGCTGGCAGTGGGCCCAGTGATTAAGAACTCTCCCCTCCCGCCATCCTGGGGCAGGGTCTTGTCAGGTCTGGTCTTTGCAAGGGCTACTTGCAGTGCCCAGACGAGATCCCAGAGGCCTCGGCATGCAACACAGGGGGATGGGAGAGGGGAGGGAGAAATGGGGGGGCTAAGGGGACCTCCTCACTTTCCCCCTGCCCCAGGTTCCCTCCACCACTGCATTGGCCTGTAAGGGGAAGGACAGAAGGCGCTTGATGGGATCAGGTTGGTGAAGAGAGTGCTCAGGGCTGGATGAGGGGGCCGAGATGGGCTGGGAATCGTTCTTCCCATAAGCTGGAGGAGAATTCAGAGCTCACAAAACTTGCCTGCCCCTCCATCTGGGCCTTTGCACCTCCTCCCTGCAGTTGCTTTCACAGGCCAGGTCAAAGGCGGACCCCCCCGCCCCGTGCCTCTCAGTTAAACCCCCATTTGCACAGGGCGAGCTTTGCCTCCCTCCACAGCCGCCTCCTCCTGCCATTCTAGGACTTCCGTGAGCAAGTGGCCCACCACGCCATCACCATCTTCCTCATCAGTTTCTCCTACTGTGCCAACTACCTCCGGATCGGCACCCTGGTCATGATCATCCACGACACTGCTGACTGCTTTCTGGAGGTGAGTGGTGCCTCCCGTACCCCAGGTACCCCAGGGGACCAAGCCCTTCTTCGTGCATTCCGTGAACCCCTTCTTTGAACAAAAAATGCAAGAAAAGCCCTGAGCACCAGACCTCAGGCCCCCAAATCTCACAGTGCTCCAACACCTCTTCTGACAGCCCTTAATCCTGTGCTGAATGTGAAGAAGAACCTGCGCATTCCCCTTTGGGTGCAGTGAATGCCTCAGTCCACACCCATCAGTTTCAATTGGGCCATGACTTCTTATTTCGCTATTTAAAGAAGAGAAACAATGAAGGCTTTCCCCCTCCCATGCCAGCAATGGGGCGGGGGGGCTGTCCAGAGGCTGTTTGCCGAACAATTCCGTGTAGTCTCCCCAGCAGCTTCAGCAAGATCGATGTGCCACACATTGAGCCAGAAATCAGTCGCCTTTTCACTGAAGTCGCTGGTGATCTGTCTACTGAAGGGGGAACTTGTGGAACTTGCAGTTTCATTGTACTTCCAGCTGAACTAAGAAAAGTCTGGCCCCTCCTACTGTCTCTATTTAAATTCCAACAGTCATGGCTCCTTTACAGACCCTTTCCTAGCTTTGAACATTTCCAGCAAATCTTGCAGCAGAAAATGAGAAGTGGAAAGGGGAACTAAAGGGAGGCACGAGAAAAATAACACCCCGTTAATGCCCCCTTTCATGGCCTCCAGTTATTCCGGGAGAGAATTTTTGAAATGTTGGCGCTCTTGTGCTCCTTGCAACCCCACTTTAGTTTCAGCTTCTACTCCCCACATTCCCTTTTCTCTGCAGTCCAGAGCAAGGGTGGAGAAGCACCCAAAACTTCCAGGGCTCTCAGTCCAGACCGTGGTTTATCCGTACAAGCAAGGATTGCAAATGACACTTGAAGGGGGCTAGTTTGCATGAAACATTAACTGTGGTTTGTTCTTGCTTGGGAACAATAGATCTTACAATGCTGAGCTGCAGTTTAGCACGAGGGCACAGAACCCCGGACCCAGCCTTTGTCCTTCTGGAGTCCTGGCTCAGCTTTTGGGGTTTTCCCAGGGAGGCCCATTCCCTTGTCCTGGAGCACCAAGCGTTTCATGGCTTCTTGGTCTCAGTGCCTTCCCCATCTCATTCTGAACTCATGAAGCTTGCTCTCTGCTGAAAGGTCCAATGCGCAATGGCTTTTTATATGTCTGGCCCCACTCCTTTTTCCTTTGGCCCCTCCCATATCCCCAAGGACCGTGCCAGAATTGAGTCTGGTCCTGGAGCTGGAAGACGCTGGCATGCTGACCTGACAGTAATGTTGGGGTCATCCTCAGACCAGCAGAGCCTCCCAGATCTTTGAGTTTTGTCTGAACTGTGATGTTCCGTCTTTCCAGTTGATTATTATTTCTCTTTATTGATGTAAACCAGCACTACAAAATTTCTTTGGTCAGAATTTTGCAGTCTTGACTGCAAAATAATAACCGTATCCTTTGACTGAATCTACTCCTAAGTCTGTGGTCTTCAGCAAAGGTTTCTAACACTGTCATCTAATATTTGACCAGCTTCAGCTTCTTTCTGATCTCCAATGGGGTTCAGCAGACAAGGCAGAAAATTATTACTGAATTGCCCCTCAGAGAGACTCTCTGAATTGCCTGTTTGCAGCAGCAGAAGAAATGCTCCAATTATGGGTTCATTCTAATTAGTTTTTTATGGGCACAAACTTTGGTTTGTGCTTCATTCTCCTTTACTGTTTTCCTTTCTTTTTCCACAGCCCACTAAGATATTCAACTACCTGAAGTGGCAACGTACTTGCGACACTCTGTTTTTAATTTTTTCAGCCGTTTTCCTGTTCACACGCCTGGCGATTTTCCCCTACATGTAAGTATTGTCTCTGGGGTTTTATTCCACTCGCTTTGGGCCATGACTCTTGGCAGGAGTCCAGTCATCTTCTGGGGTGAACGGAGAAATGGAAAAGATTGTGGACCTTTTTGTTGTCCCTTAACCTCTGTGCCAAAGCAGGGAAAGAGAATGTCAATATGGACATTAGACGTGCCCATCTAGAAAGTGGAAAACCCCGCAATTCAAAAAAGCAGGTGCAACAGAGGTGGAAAGACAGCAGTGCCAGCACCTCCTGGAAAGGGCCAAGGCTGAATCCGGCATCCGTATGGGCCAGTTTGGAACTGTGCTGCCTGGGTTTTCCATCCCTAGTTTGGGGACACACTTGTGCATTAGAACGTCTGTTCTAAAGCCGAGATGTGCATCCAAGGGTTAAAAGCAAGCAGTCATTTTAACTGAGAAGCATAAGAGAAATTTGTTTCAGTTCACTGATGAAGAAAATTTACTCTGTTTGCTCCCCTTAATCCGAAATGTGAGTGGAAACTGCCACCAAAATCCATAAAACTTTCATCTTGTAATCCACATTACAGAGAGAAAGATATGTTCAAAAATGTCTATGCGAGAAAAATCCATGTGAAAAATGCTTTTTTAAAGTGTGTATAAATGTGTTTTAAGACATGGAAGAAAATTTTGTTCTTTTCAGTGCATGCCCAAGTAGGGATATCAGAGAAAAGAGTTCAGACTTCTAAGAATCGTAGATTCCACAGTGGATCACTTTTTCCATGCCTCATGGATTCTGTCGACATTTATGTTTAACTTGCTGTAACTTTATGCAAATATAGAAAAATACAGAAAATTTTAAAATATTGTTTGCAATCTGGCACAGACCTGGGTCAAACCTAAGTTTAGGATGGAATTTGGAGAACTTTTATGAATGTGTTTTTAAAGTCTTTCAGGTGTTCATTGATTCCTTAAAAGAAAACTTTCTCCCCCGTCTCCAGGGTCCTCTACAACACATACTACTACTCCATGGAGATTTTCCAGCCCTTTTTTGGTTACTACTTCATGAATGCGCTCCTGATACTTTTGCAGCTTCTCCACGTCTTCTGGTCGGGCCTCATAATTCACATGGTTTATAAATTCTCGCAGTGCGGCACGGTAAGGACAGAAGTTCTGAGGATTGCTTTTCCTCGCCAGTGCCCTGCTTGAGATGATGGTTGTAAGTGTGCAGCTCCCCCAGAACATTTGCAAATTGTCCAAGCCACCTCTCATTGCTGATTCTTGGTTTCATTTGCACTCATGCACATCACTCAAGTGATGGAAGGGGCCTTTTGCACCCCTTTCCCTAGCTTCCCCATTTGCCGGGTCCCAATCCCCGCATGCACCACCAGGACTGAAACCGAACCTGCAAGGACTCGCAAGAGGACCGGGCTGCCTGCTCCGCCTGGCCACCAGGGAAAGCTGTGCTGCTTGGCACACCCTGACCTGTGTTAGAACTCAAGAGAAGGCACTTTGGATCAGAGCCAAGGTCCATCCAGTCCAGGCAGCCTCCTCCCTTGTGAAGCTCCCCAGTCACCATTTATTTATTTATTTATTTATTTAATAAATACATAAATAAACACATAAATAAATACGATTTTTACCCCATTTGATATGGAAAAATGTCTCGGGATGGCTTACAATAATTAAAACAATAATAATTACAATAAAACAGTAATAGTTACAATTATTAAGGCAGTAAATAACAAAATGATAAATAGCATTCATAACCCCAACAAATGCAGCTGTTGATGTTAAAACCATTTAAATCCCCCAATGCTTAAAATGATGGCTGAATAAAATGGTCTTTGCCTGGCACCGAAGGGGGCATAAAGATGGCGCCAGGCAAACCTCTCTGGGGAGCGCGTTCCACAATCGGCGCCACTGCAGAGAAGGCCCAACCCGGGTTAATGACACCCAGGCAGCAAATTTCACAGTCTTAACTATGCACTGCGAAAGAACTTCCTTCTAAACCGTCTACCAGTCAGCTTCATGGGATGACCCTGGGTTTCAGTGCCCTGAGAGAGGGAGAAAATGACTCCTCCCCCACTTTCTCCACTCTGTGGGTAATTTTAAACCTCTCTGTCCTGTCTCCCCTTCCTTGCTTTCTTTTTAAGCAGAACAATCCTGGTTTTTGCAGCCATTCCTCACAGGGCAGCTGCTCCAGCCCCTGCCCATTTTCATTGCCTTTTTTGTATCTTTTCCAACTCAGTAACGTCCTTTTTCAGGCAAGGCAACTAGAACAGAGCACAATACTCTAAGTGTTGCTGCAGCCAGGATTTATACAGGGAAAGTAGGATCTTGGCACGTCTATTTTCCGTTCCCTTCCTAACTATGCCTAGCCTGGAGTTTGCCTTTTTCACAGCAGTCTCACTTGTGGGATTCAGGTTCTTTGTGCCTCTATTAGAGTGTTCCTGAGTAATCTCAACATGCTTAGAGATGATTCCGTTCTATTCAGAAGTCTATTCTTGATCTCCCTCTTCAGCATCTTCTTTGCGAGTTCCCTAATTTTTGAGAAGTTTCCTAGTTTGAAGTGAAACACAACTGGGTTTGACCTCTTGAGCAGTCTTCCTGCTAGAAAGGTAGGAGCAAACTGGAGCAGGGCAGGAGCAAACAGCAGGGCTGGAGCAGGGCAGGAACTGGAGCAAACTGGAGCAGGAGTAAACTGGAGCAGGGCCAGAGCAAAGGTAGGAGCAAACTGGAGCAGGGCAGGAGCAAACAGATAGCAGGGCTGCAGCTAACTGGAGCAGAAGCAAACTGGAGCAGGGCTTGAATAGCATTGCTGAAGTCTGTACTCATGACTGCCTGGGTCAGGGTGCAGAGTGCAGTCTCAGCAAACTGAGCACTCAGGATGTGGCAGCAGGTTAAACTTCTGAGCAGCAGGACCCAGACACCTTAATCCAAAGTATTAGGCAATGTCCAATCTGAATTCCAAGCTGATAGCAGATGAGCACAAACCAGGAGTTACAGGCCCATACAAGGAGAGGGCACCTTTGGAGCAAGCGCAGGTGCAGGCACAGGCGCAGGAGCAAGGTCCAGGTCCAGGCGCAGGCGCAGGGCAGGCCCAGAATGCAGGGCTATCAGGCAAGGAGTTGCATAGGAACAGAAGTGTCGCTCAAGTCAGGAGCCCTGCATTGTTGAGGCAGTGCTAGAAGGAAGAGCCCATTCTTATACAGCTCTTCTCTCAGGGCTCCCAGGTGTGGCTCATATCTGATGGCTGCAGTACGGTCCAATCCTGCAACCCCCAGGGCTGTTATTCAGGCCTTTAACCAGTAGACGGAGCCCTGAAGCTGCCTAAGGTTCTGACAGGCCCTGGTTGGTTGGGCACAAACTGTGTGGGAGATGGCGCCTCCTCCAGGGCTCAGCCATGAAGGACTTGACACCTGCCAGAGCTGGAAGGTGCATTTCGCCAGCCCATGTGTGGGTAGCTGAATCTCTGATTTCATCTCCCATCCTAAGACCACCCTGAGCATTCTGGCCTGGGGGACAGTGGCATACTCCCAGGACACTCCCAGTGGGCAGGGATCTGGATGGCCTCCTGGCCACTGGCCCCAAGATCCACTTGACTTCCTCTCCCCTGGTTTTTCCAGCGAGCGGTGGGATGCATGTGGGGGCGAGGGAGGGCAGCCACAAGAGGAACCAGCTGCCAAAGTGTCGGGCATTTGTTTTCTCTTGCAGATGGAGAGGGATCTGAGGAGTGACCTGGAGGAAAGCGAGAAGAGTGAGGAGGATTCAGGGCAGCAGAAGGAAGCCAAGAGAAACGGGACCCTCCGCCGTGAGCCTGGCCGCAACAGCAGCGCTCGGCCCAGACGCCCCGCTGTAGATGAGTGGCTGACACCGGCTGGCCAGCAGGCGCACCAAAGCGAGGCCACTCCAGTGGGCTCCACCAACTGCATTGCACTCCCGACGGCGCCTGCGCCGCAAGCTTGCTGCTCGTAGTGCTGGAAGGGCACGACTTGAGCCTCCTGGCTCCCCGCAGGAACAGCTAAGCCAAACCTGAGATTGTGCTGTTTTGGAGCCTGTTATAGTCACTGTTACTCCTACTGTCTTGAGGTTGAGGGAGCGGAGGGGCAGCAAGATGAATCCTGAAGAATGAGGACCATGGCACCTGTCTTTGTCGTCTGGCCCTGATCCAGGCTGAACACACAGTGCCCATCAAATAATCACTGGGATGGTTTGGTCGGTTGGGTTTTCCAGCAGCCCAAAAGCCAGAAGTGGACATGCAAATGCAAGCAATTCCAGTTCACAAATCTGGGAGAATGTGGGTGGGTGGGGCAGAGGGCGGGAGGGAGGAGGGAGGGAGGGAAAGGCAAAACTGGAAGACAATGATGCCCACGGAAAGGGCAGAGGCTCCGTTTTGGTTGCCGAGGGGACACGTCTTAAAGTGGCACAGTTGTTGGGAGAGCAGGGTGTGGGATTCACAGAGAGGGGCCAGACCCAGAAGTCAGTGGGTGCTGTTTGAAGGCTTGCTGGGTGCTTGCAGCTCCAATCCCACCTGGGATGCAAGCGAGCTGCTTGCTTCTCTCTGGAACATGATGGGGGAGGGGGAGGAGGCAGGAGGACGTGCCAGTTAATTTTTAGTGGCCTATTTTGTGGGAAGCACAATCAGTTGTTGAGTGGGCCACTGGCCTGGAGACAGGTTGCCCTGCTAGCCCACCCCCATGCCTGAAAAGCTGGGGAAACGGCACCTTCTCCCAGGTGAGGACTGGGGTGGGCCCCATTCCAGTTGTGGTTTCAGCTTTCCCGTTGTGGCACGCCCCAGTGACCTGGACAGCACCTCAACCAGCTGCTGGAGGCAGCAACAATAACTGATTCCAAAACACAAAACCCATCAGTTTGCTGTTCCCTATTTTAACTAGATTGCCCCATCATCTCTGCAAAAGACCCTGAAGCAACAGAAGGTTTTGTTTGTGAGAAATGGAGATGATGGAGTTGCTTTTGCTCTCTCCATACACCCCATGAGCCTGATTCGTTTTTTAGAAAATGCAGCCTGCACTTGCTCTTTTTAACATATTTGGGCTGCTTTAGGTGGCAGTTTGGAGTGCTATGGAAGGCCTGAATAAGATCCAGGCCTGGTCCAAACCCACCAGGATGGCCTCAAAGACAGGAGGCAGTGTCTTTGCTTTGCATTTTGATAAGAACACTGCCTCATTCACCGTTCCGGGATGAATTTGCCAGCTTCCTTCAATCTGGTATTCTTCACATGTTTTGTACTTCAATTCCTATCAGCCCCAGCCAGCATGGCCCATGTTCTGGAACAGTGGGAGTTGTAGTCACAAACATCTAGAGGATACCTGCTTGGGTATGCAACATGCAAATGAAAACATCCTTTTGCATTTGCATATCTCCAAATTTTGCAACTTCCCCAATCCAAAACTGGTACAAAAATGTTTTCATGGAAAAATATGTGCAGAAACAAATCATTTTGTGAAAATAACATTACAAAAATGCATCCCATAAGAGGAAATTTCTTGTGTACATCACCAAAACTGCATTAAAACACATATATTGAGAGAAACAAATAGGCATGAATTGACTGTAAAAAATACTTATATCAAACTTAGGCAGAAAGGAATGAATTTCAGGTGGGAAAGGTCGAAATGGGCAGAGTAGTCCATTTCTGGTCTCCTGGAAGGTGCACCAGATCAAACATGATCAAGGTGAGCCCAATATCCTGTTTCCAACAAGGGACAGCTGATCCCTGAATGGGAAGACCAAAGCTGAGCATGATGGGGATGGATCCTCCGTGTCCAGGAGGCTGACGGGGGAAGCCTACATTCACTCTTGCAGCTTAATGCCATGCTTATGACTTAATGCTGAGACATGGTCCACCAAGGTCCCCACCCCGTTTCCTGCAGTGGCCACAGTAAGAAAAAGCACCCCATTCGTATCAGCCAGGCCTATACAGGGGAATCTCCCAGTGTGAATTATTAAGGGGCAGTTGCCATCCAGGTGACTCATCTCGGGCTCCAAAATATATTGGGCGTGTTCAGTTGTTCGTGGCTCCAAAGTGAGCATGTAGGATTTTTTTTCATTAAACTGGAAATTCCAGGGCTCAGTGAAACATGCCACTGTCTGGCCATCTCTCTGTATCTCATCCCAGGTACATGCTTTGGGCATCATGTCACAAAAGGCAGTGTGGTGTAGTGGTTAAGAGCACAGGACTGGGACTCGGGTGATCCCGGTTCAAGTCCCCTCTCAGCCATGGAACTCATTGAGTGACTTTGGGCCAGGCACAGACTCTCAGCCCAACCTACCTCACAGGGTTGCTGTGAGGATATGACTAAGAAGAGGGGAATTATGTAAGTCACTCTGAGTTCCTTTAAAGAGGAAAAGGGATATAAAGATAATAAATACATTTCAGCTGTGTTAAGAAATGCTGGAGGGGTGACAGAGATGTCATGGAAAATTTACAAGATGCTGTTTACAGAATGGTCAAGTGCTGACTGCTACTACATGTCAACCGTCCTTCGCACCGTTTCCCAGCAGGTTTTGTTTTCCTCCCAAAAAATACCAGATACTGTTCTGTGTTGGTGAATGTATGTAACCACATATTACAAAAAGTACATCATTTCCAGTGAACTCACAGGATGAAACGCTGCACCAGCTTTTGTGATCGCTTCAAAGAAAGACTGGTTGGTTGGTTGACTTATTTATTTCCTAGGAGACTAATACTCATCTTTACAAAATTGTACTACTGGGAGAACTGATTGCTTTTCCAAGAAGGCAAAATTAAAGGGTTTTTTCTACTGACAAGATCATGATGTTCTTATTCAATATGTGCGCACACAACATGCTGAAGCTAACATGGGGCTAGCCCCCCATCCCAGAAGTCATGCTGTGATAAAAGGGAGTTGGTGCACACTGGCCAATGGCTACTAGCCAAAATGTGTACTTCAGGGTTCACAAATGGGAATGTCCTATGGCATGGAACATGCCCCTGAACATATTCTCAGGATTGTTTATCCTACCCTTCAGCCAAAAAAGACGTTCAAAGATTAATAATAACAGCACAGTTCCTGCCCTTGGGCTTATGCCTAAAAGACAGAACACGAAAGGAAAAATAATTGGGAGGGAGGAGGAAAAATGCAAAACTTGGGTACATAGAAACAGAGCGAGTCAGAAGGGGTCTCCCAGGCCATCTAGTCTGACCTCCAGCACCGGCCTGCTCCGCTCACGACATGCCCACCATGTGGACGTCCAGCCTGGATGTGAGCACCCGCACCGATGGGGCCTCAATGATCTCCCATGGAAGCCCATTCCACACCCTCGGGGTCCTAACTGTCGGGAAGTGCTTCCTGGCATCCAAATGGAACCTGGGTTCCCTGAGCTTGGCTCCGTTGGAGCACATCCTGCCTTCCTCTGCAGGGGAGAACAGGTCTCTGCCCGTCTCCATGTGACACCCCCTCACATACCTGCATGTCGCCAACAGATCCTTGCTACCCTTGCTTAGTTTCAAGGTACTTCTATGTGCATGTGCTTTCTGGCAAGAAAAGATGAATCAAGCGATGTATGGGGTAGGCTGGCCCCCCCTTTTGTCATGATGGGTTTTGGAGCGGGTATAGCACCTTCATGTGCCCATTTGGGCAAGGCAGGGCACATGTCCCACCATCAACAAGAGGTGCACCAAGCAAGGCTCCACGCAGAAAGAAGGTGTGCTCCCTCTCCCGTCCTATGGAAGGAGGCCAGCAAATGCGGCAGAGGGTGGGGACTGAGGGCAGATCCAAGGAAAGCCTTCTGCTGAGTTAAATGATGGGATTCAGGGATGCCCATCTGGATGGCTTTGGAAGGGAAATGGGCAACTTTCTGGAGGGGAAGGCTGGCTGGTTGCCTGGTGGCTATAGGCTGCCTCCAGGATCAGAGGCTGTGTGCTGGGGACCATGGTGGGGCTTCCTGCACGTGGCTGTTTGGCCGAGCAGATTTCAGGTGGGACCGACCCCTGCGGCCAGTTCAGCACAGCTGTGCTCATGTTCTTCCGTTCTCAAGAATGGAGCTGCCTCCACAGCTGTGGGGAGCGGAGAGTGCGCACGGTGCGCATTTTGCAGCATCCGAAGGCTTGGAAGAGACCAAACAAACCGTCCCCGGGCCTCCTCACCCCCAGCCCTGGCTTCAGGCATGCCATTGTACCCATCATCAGCACTGAGTGTTCACAGATTGGTTGTGCTCTCCAGGTTTCCAGGTAGAAGTCTTTTCCATCCCTATCCCAGGAGATGCTGGAATTTGAACTCAGGGCCTCCTGCAGGCAAGGCAAGAGGTCTGGCCCTATGCTAGTTTCTACTCCTTAATAAAGCTAAGATTCCAGTTCTCAGGGTTCCAAATAAAGGTCTGGTTAGGATAGGAGCGTATAAAGCTGTGTAGTACCCAGCCAGATCATTAGCCCATCTAAAGGTGCAATGTTGGGACCTGTAGTCCAAAAATCTACAAGAGGGAGTGGCAGCCATATTGTCTGGGCCTTCTGGGAGTTGCAGTCCGACCCACCAAGGAGCAGCCCATCGTGGAAGGCTGGACTACCTTCTTATGGCTCCCAGGGTATCTTCTCAACTCTGACCCAAATCGCACAGGACCCAAAGGACAAGGTGTCACCATCAGTGCCAGATCAGCTCATCAGCCCCTGCTAGTCACCCAGGACCAGGTGTCCTCCAGGGAATGTCCAACTAGGTCCTCAGAAAACTGAAGCTCTGTCTCCTTCCTGTAGCATCGCATTGAGGGCCATCTCCATCTTGTACCCGGACCCCTTGTGCACCTGCTCTCAGTCCTTTCAGCTCCAACAGTCATTTGTCATGGACTCTGTTGCCCGGTTTGTCACCCTCACCTTCACCTTCAGTGTGGTGGTGATGGCACCTTCCTCTCTCAGGAACACCTGTGCCGCATTCCAGTACTTGTGAGGCTCTTTTCCATTGGAAGGTGAGATGATGAGGGATGGACATCTCCTTTGCTTATGCCTGGTGACCCTCAGATCAGCAAGCTATGGAGACCCAAGTGTGGGCAGGAGGTAGATTTGGAGAAACTGTGGACTTCAGCTCCCACCATTATTTCCTACCAGCATGCCTAATGGTCAGAAATGCTGGAAATTGAAGTCAAACATTTATAGATCTACCTTCTCCCCTCCTGATGGGCACAGAAACATGGGCACCTGAAGCTCTTTGGACGGTCATCCCAAAAGGACTTAAGGGGCTGAAAGGACTTAAGATTTGCCCACCCAACAGGAATCTGAAAGTCTAAATGGCCATCTAAAGATCTTTGGATGGGCATCTTTAGAGTTGATGAGCATCTAGAGTTCTGCCCACCTGATAGGCATCTAAATATCTTTCATAAGGTATCTAAAGATGGTCATCTAAAGATCTTCTGGTGATCTACCTTCTGTCCACCTGAAAGGCATCTAAATATCTTTAGAGAAGTGTTTAAAAATGGGACTCTGAAGGCGTAAGTGGGCATCTAGTGATCTGAATATGGGTGTCAAAGTCTTCTGGAAATTGACTTTCTGTTCACCCAGTGGGCCTACTTCTTCTGGCCAAGGGAGGCTGATTCAGCTACCAGTGTGGACCGCATGCTCCTCTCCTTTTGCTTTGGATCACATGTGGTCACATATGGACTTCCTGGCATTATGTGAGCACAGCTTGTGCCAGGTAGGATGGACTGTCCTCTGCAGGGCAGCCCTTCAGCTGTTGCAGGATGGCTCTCAGGTGGCCCCGGGGAGCTGAATGCCCCCCTCTGCTGCTCCTCGCACAGTGTGGATTTGGGCTCCACCACTGACGCTCACTGTCTTGTCCTCACAGCAGTCCTGTGAGGTTGGCTGGCCTGAGAGGTGGCCACAACTGCCCCACGGTCAGCCAGCGAGCTTCCGGGCTCCATGGTTGATGGGCTCCTAGCATCGAACCTGACAGTGATGCCAGATGGTGGCAACCAGGGGCATCCGGGCTCCCACAATATCTGGAGAACCAGGCATGGTTCTGTGCCCCTCCAGGCTGCCTCCCCTTCCTCCCCTTTGTCTAAGCTAAGCTGTCCAGGAAGTGGTCTCCTTTCCCACAGGGGGAGTTGCTCCCGCCCCCGGATCATTTGTGTTGCTCCTTCTGCACTTTTCCAGCCCTGTGCTCCCATTGAAAGAAGCCCTTCACTTGGGGTCGAAGTGAGGGGCAGGGAGCAGGGGTGAAGAGGAGAAGCAGCTCCAGAGAGCTCTTGTCAGAGGGACCCGTCGGGCATCTGGGCTCCTGGCAGGTTCCCAACCATGCCGACTTACAACAGCAGCCTGCACGCCATCTCCACTGGGATGCTCAGCCTGCGCTTCCCCTCCCTCCTTTGCCACACAAATGCCGCTACTGGGCCTTGCTGCCCTTCTGCAGAGCTGGCTGCAGCTGCGACTTGGACCTGACCTTCCCAACCGCCTACAACCTCTTCTGCCTCTATCGGCTGGCATTTGGCTTCCTTTTCATCTCCTCTGGAGAGGGATGCTTGTGCCACCTCCGCACCAACACTCAGACTGGCTGACCTTGAAAGATGATGGAGCAATCAACTCCAACAAAGGGAACCGTCTTGAAAGAGGCTGTGGGCAGGCGGGGTGGGGGGGCTCTCTGAAGCAAAGACTTTCAGACAGACTGAGATGAGCAATTTGTTTCAAATAGGCTTTCCAGAGACCTGCCTGCATGGCTTTACGAACAAGCACATCACTCTCGCCTGCCACTTGTGTGCCCACGTATGGAATGTCTGCCTGTCTCAAGATGGAGAACCTTTTAACCCGAGGACCAAATTCAAGCAAAACTCAAGGACCACATCTCAGTCTTAGATGGGGTGGACCACGAGGGGTGCTTTCACCAACAGGGATGGGGCTGCAAATGCCAGGATATAAGAGCTTCACGCTCTTCCTATCAACAGATTGCTGGGAATGGAACCCCAATACATTGAGAAGGCTATTTTAGGAAGTACATGGAACTAAAAGCACAGGAGATGCATAAACTGCCACTCTTTTCCCGACAGGGTATGGAACACCTGAAATTCCATGCAGGGTTTGAAAAAAAAAATCACAAAACACTTTGCAGAGCTGGACACAGTCAGCTGGGGGTGTTAAATCCAAAAGTGAAAGGGTGCAAGTGAGGAACACTGAACGTCACTTCCCCCCAGCAGAGAAAATTCTCCGGGAACATGGATATCTCCCACCGGATGTACTTTTAGAAGGGCAGCTGTGAATATTGGGACACACAGGATGCAAACCATGAGGGGGCTTTGCCTTCAGGCCACACTTGTGCGTTACCCAGTGGGGCATGGGAAGCATGCAGAGGCTGCTGCCAGGAACACGATGTGGGGCTAGACCTCCACAGGGCTCATGATAGTCAAGCTAAGCCATGGATGGATCAGTCTAGGGCGCAGTCCTGTACATGCGTGCTCAAAACTTTACTCCTGAGGAACTGGGTCTAGCAGGGCTGCAGAAACTCAGGGTCAAGGAGGGTCCCAGCCCAGTCCTGCGGGGCGGGGGGAGTGCCCCAAATAGCCATGCCCCTTGCCACAGGCCCCACATCTTTCCTCCCGCCACTGATCACTGGAAGGCTTCCCAGCTTTCGTGCAGCTCCATCCAGTTCCTGAAAAGGCTCAAATGCTTCAGCTAAGACTGCATTATGGTGTTAAGCAAAACACTGGGATGGTACAGGAGAGCTACCTGCCACTGGAACACGTCCACTGGGAGCTCCTCATCTGGTCCGTGGACTAAAAGGGGGTTGCGCTGGTTGTTCATCGACAACACGTGGGCCGGGGAGGCAGCCATCTCCCAGTAGGGCTGGGCCAGCCCCTGCCTCAAGCCCGCAAGATGGCCCTGCAGCCTGCTGAAATCAGCCCAGTACTCCAAACTATGAGGACCAGAAGCTTGACAAACCTGAACTGCAAACAAGACAAGGAACGAGGGTTGGTCAATGGTTTTTGTGCATAGACAAGCAAACCAGGATTCATTGTGCAACCAACAACCAATATTGCTAAAGTGGAAGTGCAGTTCAAGTGATTCAGGATGTGGGCTTTTTGGATTCGGGTGCTGGAACAGATCTCTGCAGGTGGTCCCTCAAGCTGTCGCCAGCTCCTAGCTGCTGCTGGTCCAGCAGCTCCAGGCCAGCAGCCTCGGTGTCAGTTCGCATTCTTGCCTGCTTCTGCAAAGCAACCCTGAGAGCTACCCAGCGGTAAAGCGCATAGAAAAGGCCGCAGAAGATTGGGCACACACAGAACGCAGCAAGCAGGGCCAGGATGAGAAGCTGCCAGTGGCCCTGGGCAAAGAGGTGAGGCAGGAAGGCGTAGAAAGGCTGCTGGGAGCAGACGTGGGCCCGCTTGTTGTAGGTGCTGAAGGCTGGGCAGGAGGTGCAGTTGTGGGCCGTCCCCCCCTGGCAGGTGTAGCAAGACGAGTCACAAGCGGCGCAGGTGCGGATGGCCCCGTCGTGGCCAGGGGCAGGTCGGGAGACGCTGTAATACCTGGGTGGGCAGTAGTAGAGGCAGCGGTTCTGGAACGCATAGAAGGGGCTGGTGCATCCTGGGAGGATGGGAGGCGAGGGAGGTTAGCATGAGTCAGGCAGGATATGCTGCGCCCTGTCAGGGGGCGCTTGTCCTGGGTCCAAAATCCACTGAAGGGAAGGACAGTGACCTCCCAAGCCTGGAACAAACTGCCCTGCTACACTTGAGTGTCTGTGACCCTCACACACCCAGAGGCCGCTCTGTTTCTCCCTTTCCCAACCCGGAGCCTCCACACATCAAGGCTACTTCACAGGAGCTACTTCCAGCCCTGGTACATTTAGCCTAATCCAGAGATGGGCAACCTCAGAGGGTCAGAATCGCACCCCCTTCCCTGGCCTGAGGCTCCTCACCCTGAGGAGATCCTGCATTTTTTCTCTCTGGCCTTTGCAACGTCCCTTCTTAGGAAGCCCTGCAGCCTGCTTGACCATCAAAAGGAGACCGCCATGGCAAATGCATGGAACATAGCCCTCAAGAAACATACCTTGGCATGTCCCGTCAGCGTCTCGCCTCATGCACTCACCCACCACAGGGGCATTGATGTTTCTTGCCATCATGTCTTCCTCTGTCCCATACAGTTTGAACACAAGGCTGTCAAGGAATCCTTCAGAAGGTGGCAGAAGAAGGCAAAATCAAATTGACTTCATTTTTCCTCTTCCCTCCCCATCCCTTGTTCCTTGGGTGTTGTGTCTGTCGTCCTCCTCCTCCTCCTCTATTCCTTAGACTGCAAATCTGCAGGCAGGGACTGTTTAGCTACTGAATACTTGCAAACTGCTCTGAGAGCCATTCTTTGGTGAACAACAGGACAAATGGACATTAGGATACAATCCTATGCATGTTAAGACAAAAAGAAGTCATTGTCACTGCAACTCACAGCATCATCCAGCAGCCATCTGGCAGGGTTCCCCAGGTGACCATATCAACTTCCTCTTTTTGCCCAACCAATGCGCATTTGGTACTTTCCACAGTGGGATTTTGGGAACTGTGATCCATTACATCTAGCCCGCATAAAGCAGGGTCAGCACAGTTATTGGGAATGGTGGCTAAGGGCAGCTTGTCCATTTTACTGCTCAAAGAACGCTCAGGCTCTTTGTCCGTCTCCCTGGTTCTGCAGGTGACAGGCATGAGCAATCCAAAGATGAGGACGGCTTAGGGTTTTTGACCATGTTGCTGGAAAGCCGCTGAAGGTGGAGAGAGACTGACGCCCCCGCAGCTGAGGCGGCCATGAGCTTACCACTGTTGAACGGGTCCCCTTTGTTCTCAAACAGGAGAGTCCAGATACCCCTCGGGTCCTCATCCCAGAAGTGCGTGGACATGAAAGTCCAGTCCCTGTAGCCCCGGTCACTGGTGTCAAAAGGCCTGGTGGGCAAAGACAGGGGCACTGCTTTGAAGCGGCATCTGCAGGGGCAGTGGGGCTGCAGCAGTGGGACTTCTGGGTCTGCAGCCGCTTCCCCCTCCCTGAGCTGGGTGGAAAGAGGTTCCCCAGTCACCACACATCATTCCCTGCCATGCTGCAAAACTGTTCCCACTGCGGCTTGACCCCGAATGGGCCGTCGGGATCCCTGTGCTTAGCAAAGGCCTTGCTGGGACCAGTCTGCTGACGGGATCGCCCAGCCGCCTGCCCTCTTGGACATTCCCTGGGGCATGGGCTGCACTTCCACGTTTGCCAGGACACGACCATGTGTCCACGAGGCCAAACTACCCAGAGGGCAACCCAAGTGACTGACAGGTCCCAGGGCCTGGGGCTTTTTAGCCTGGAAGAAAGGGAGTGAAGGGGTCATGCGTGATCGGAGTGGTGCACGAAAATTGCATATGGTGTGGACAGAGGGACATTTTTCTCCCCAGGATTATAGAGCCAAAGGGTCAAAATTGGGGGCAAGGAAGCAAATTCCATAGTTTAGCCATGTGCTGGGTGCAGCTGTCCTGCCTTCTCTGTCCAGTTGCACCGCCGTTCAGCTCACGGGATGACTCCTGCAGGCTCATGGAAGAGCACCAGTCCCCTGTCCATTGTCTCTGCTCCCTGCATAATTCTGCACTGATCACCTCGCTTGCCCTTTCTCTCAGCTGAACAATCCCAGCCACTGTGACCTTTCTCCATGGAGGGGTCAGTCCAGCCCCTGCTCATCCAAGCTGCACTTTTCCCAACCTCTCCACATTCTTTCCAAGGTTCTGATCGGAACTGTACGGTCTTCCAACCGTGGCTGCCCTGGAGATTTGTATGGGGATTGTTCTGTCTTTGCTGACTTTTCTAGTTCATTCTGCCTAACCGGGGATTGACTTTTTCACAGCAGCTGCGTGCGGGGCTCACTTCTTCAACCAGCTGACCGCCATAACCCCAAGACTTCTATCTGGGTCGGTCAGTCGCCCCACGGAAAGGTTTCCCTTCTGCCACACAGACAAGCCTCCACACACACAATTCACAGGTCGCAGACCCACAGTTCTCTCTCACTGCATGGATGGGCTTGCCAGAGTGCCCTCCCCAGCCAGAGCTCCCCAGGGCAGAGAGCGGGGTTCCCCTGCACCCACTGCAGAGACTCCAAGACCCATGCCTCGCCTGTAGGGACAGCAGCATGTTGCTTCTGAGCACAATCCAAGAAAGCCTCTCGGGAGACTGGGGCACTGGAAGCAGGTGCAGGGTTTTAGGAGTGCCGGTGGAGGATGCAGCTCCCCTGCCAGGGCTGCCCTCCAACTCCCCAAAGGTTCTTCCTCCATCTGAGAAGAGGAAGCCAAGCAGAGATTCCAGGAGGTCACAGCAGAGGAAAATCCATGGATTTTCCCTTTCCCAGTTTCGCAAACTGGCACTGGGAGAAAAACAGAGGATGGAAACCGCGGTTTTTCCATTCCTACTTACAGTTTTGCATAAACACACATGCTGCCCACACAGCTGGGAGTGACCTGGCACCAGCAGCACTACTCTTCCCGAGCTGGTGAAGGCGGCCCCAAGCCGAGGCATTTAGCAGCTCTAAACAACATACAAGGGGCAGTTGTGCCAGCTATTTTAACAAGGCTGGTTAGATGAAGCTGTCTTAGATATTTGTTTCAACTGATTGTTTGCAATTGCTATTTAATAGTGTCTTGTATGAACAGCTCTAAGCTGCCCAGAGCACTTTTGGCTGCTAGGCAATGTAGAGATAAAAATTAGGAACTTACCGGATATCCACCAGGGTGGACTTGGTCCCCATAGGGCTGGTCAACGTGAGGATGAGGTCTCCCCTCCGGCTGTAACGGAGCGAGAGCTGGACCTGGACATGCTCCAGTGCACGGATGCTCCGGCTCTTCCCACAGCAGGCAGACGTGACATTTTCTGTGATCACAAACTTTGAGCCAAGACGCCTGCCACAAACCCCGGAAAAGGATAGTTTGCAAAGGAGGACCAAAATGCAGACGCTGTATGCAGTGGAGCCCTGGGGTCTGTGGATTTTGGTCAGCTTGGGTTAGACAGCCAGCGTTTGTCCATGGGGTGTCCTTTCTCACCTGTATCAACTCACACCAGGCAAGGGGCAGGGTCTTGCTGGACCTCATGCTCTACTTGAAACTCAGAACAAGAAGTAGCTTAATTTTTTATTCCACTATAAAAGGAGCTGCACTTTCCAAACCACTGTGGAGACCAAATCCCCCCTTCAGGGCTTCTTGGGTTCCCACAAAACAGCCAACAGAGGCATTGCTTTAATGTAAGGGACATGCCAGGCCTTTGGGTTGCCATACCTTCGGACTGCGTACACCTTACAAATCCAAGCAGATCAGAAAAAGCACTTGGGCAGAATTTCATAGAAACAGAGAGAGTCAGAAGGGGCCTCCCACACCATCTAGTCTGACCTCTGGCTCCAGCTGGCTCTGCTCATGACATGCCTGCCATGTGCATGTCATGAGCCTATCCTTGAACACCTTCACTGATGGGACCTCAACCACTTCCCGTGGAAGCCCATTCCATACCCTTGGGATCCTAACTTTCAGGAAGTGCTTCCTGGCATCCAAATGGAACCTGGGTTCCCTGAGCTTTGCTCCGTTGGAGCGCGTCCTGCCTTCCTCTTCAGGGAAGAACAGGTCTCTACCCACCTCCGTGTGACACCCCCTCACATACCTGTATGTCGCCAACAGATCCCCTCTGAGTCTCCTCCAGGCTGAAGAGACCCAGTTCCCTCAATCTCGCCTCATACGGCTTCCCCTGCAAACCGGTCACCAACCTTGTGGCCCTACGCTGCACTGACTCCAACCTGGCTATATCCTTCCTGTAACGAGGGGCCCAAAACTGAGCACAATACTCCAGTTGTGGGCGCACCAGAGTCGTATAGAGTGGCAGTAATACCCCTCTCAATCTAGAAGCCACACTTCTGGCTATGAATCCACTCACTGAGCATTTTAGAAAGAGGGCTTGAGGGGCTGGCGGGCTGGAGTAGGTGAAAGAGCTACTCCTTACTTCTGCTATGCTCAGCTGTTCCAAACAGATCAAAAGATGACACAGACACCTTAAAGCTCCACTTTTCTCTCCTCCAAAGGGAGCTGCCCAGGCATTTCAAGGGGGTGCTCCTTTTCACGCCTTTCCCTCAATTGCCAATGGTCTGTCAGGTGTGGTACACTTTTGTCTTCCCATTCTAAAACGCTGAATGAGCAGTTTAGCTACTGGTAGGAAGTGCTAAAACACACTGGGCTTCCTTTTGTATTTTGACCGCACCCCTTTTTTTCCCTTTGGTTCCACCCCCACAGCAAAGCCTCTCCCCCAGAAAGAGTTCTTCCAAAATGGAACCTGGCCCTTGAGCTGAGCGATTTTGTATGCCTGCTTTACAACGATGCAAAGAAGAATGTGGCCAGCCCGTCTCGTGTACTGCTGATGGGCCTGCGATTCCAGGGCACCCCAAACATGGGGCATATGCCCTTCAGTTGCTCTCCATCAGCTCTTATTCACAGGTGAGCTGTCCCCAAATCTGGAGTCTCCCTGCAGCTGTCAGAGAAGACAGTTGATGGACACCCTCTCCTCCTTGAGGTGGTTTCCCCCACACTTTAAAGCCATCTTCTCATGGGAGTCAGTTCGATTGCTTGATCTGGGCAGGCGTGTGCACCCATGTGAGCAGAAAGGCTCCATGTGCATGCACAGACATGTGTCTGCCTAGCTCGATGTCACCCTCACCCAGTGTGGATGGGTACTTAAAAGTTCAGGCTAAGACCCCGTGTAGCTACACAGCCCCACTGACATGGGAACCTCCTTCCCCTGCTGCCTCTCTTACAGTGGCTTGTGAATGGCCTTGATGTAACACTTCTTCTGAGGCTTCGTTGTGTCCCACTTCTTGGCCAGATCCACCAGCATTGCTGCATTTAAGAGTCCGTACCCATAGTAGTGGCTCACTGAAAGGAAACAAAACGCACAGGAGAGAGAGAGATGCTCCCGCCTGTAATTGCAGAGAACAGTGGGGATGCTGAGCAAGATGAGCAAGCTGTGAGCCAGCTCCAGCTGCCCTGCTCATTTCTTTCCTTCTACCCTCCTCTGCTATCTTTCCTCTGCTGTGGTGTCCTTTAACTGTATGTTTGCAGCCAGGAACAGACTTGGTTTACAGATTTAAGTGTAATCAACTCCAGAAGCATTTTTTTTAAATTATGGACTAGGATAAAATACTTCAAATAAAAAAATACCATTCAGAGTTGGCATGTATGAAAGTATTCCTCCCCCCTGCCCCACCACCACCCCAATTATGTCCAAAGTAAGGACTCTGTAGGTCTGAGTTGTCTCTGCTGAAAATCCATTGAATTTTGGGAAATACAAATATGCCTTACAATGGAACAACTGAGCCATTCTGCTAAACACAGATATGGATTATGGGTGGGTTTAAGGTTACGGCTCTTCCTAGGAGCTGCAGGCCAGGGAAGCCGCAATTCCAAGGACAGTGTGCTTCCGATTTCAGTCAGAAACAGGCTCTGGAGAGAAACCTTGCAAGCACCCTCCTTGGGGATTTACAGAGGTCCTGCTGCTTTTTTGGGGGGTGGGTAGGCACAGGCTGTAACTTTACAGGGAGATGGATGCTGCTTCAGATACAAGCTCTATTTTCCATGTGTCTGTACCCCTGCAAAGAAGGAAAAGTTACAAAATGTACCCTGGACACTTTAATTCTTCAGAACTCTGCCCTCCCCAGAAAACAGACCCCGCAAAGCCCTTTCCTGGGTGTTCTTGTAACAAGGATTTGGAATGGTTCTGGCAGACATGGATGCACCAAACTGCAAGCTGCAATGGTGGGCAAACAACTCCAGTGAAAACCAGTCAGCTGCGAAATACCAGGTGCAGGTCAGAGCAGCCTCTACCACCTCAAGGTGATACAGCCCTTCCCTGATTCAGCCGCCTACCTTTGCGTCCTACGCCGTTGACAGCCCAGTCATCCGCCTGCAGGTGGGCAGGGTGCGAAGCCCTAACCACAAGGTGCTGCATGTCGCGCCAGGTCAGTTTGGGGCTGAAAAGGAGGCAATTGGAGCAAGAGGACTGGTCAGTTCTGGAGCGAAAAGCGGGCAGGCCACCAGCCTCTGCTGCCCCACGTGCGGTGCTCTGGCACCTCCCAGGAGCCCTGGCCAGGCAAAGAGGAAGAAGGTCCTGGGAAGGGACAGGAGCCTGCTTCCTCCCCAGTCGCTGGGTGCCCCCCCCCCCCACCAGGCCTGTTTCTGCCCCACTGCTGCCCCCTGGCCACTCGGCTCTCCAGTGAGGCTGAAACGAGCTTCCTCAGGTCCCCGGGGATGGGGGGTGGGGGTGGAACTGCCCTTTCAATGCAGCCTGCCCACCTGCGGAGCCACTCCTGTGAGCACAAGCTGGTGTGTGCATCACACGTGTGTGTGTATGTGTGTGAGTGAGGGTGCTTTTATCCACCGTGCCTCCCTTTCTTCTCATGCAGCAGTGCTCCGTACCATTGGCCCACTGTTCTGGGGAGCTCCCCAGCCCACTGAGAGGGCTTCTTGGGGCCTGTGAAAGTCAGGTGCCCTTCTGGGCCCAAACTTTGCACTCTGCACTGGTGCAAAGCTGCCACGGAGGGGGTGGGGGGAAGGACCCTGAAAATGTGGATTTACTGGGCTACTTCGCTTTAGGGTTTAAAGGATGAGTTAATCACATTCAGATTCCACCTTTTTACCCTCAAGGCAGCTTACATAATGCACAAGTGCCCGGGAAGCCCAAAAGAAGTAAGATTAATAACAGGACTCCTCCGCTATTCAATCATGCCCGCACAACAAGTGAGGCAGTTTGGGCTAAGAGTCTGAATGGCCCAAAGCCACCCAGTGAAGCTTATATATTTTAAAATTTTCTATACCGCCTATATTTTCTTATAAAAATCTCAAGACGGTTTACAATAGCAATCACAGCCAAGCAGGGACTAGAACCCAGATCTTCTGAATCCTAGCCCCCTGCTTTAACCACTGCACCACACTGGCTCTTAAGCTTGTATCGAATTTGATTCTGCCAACTACTTGAAGACAGAGTTTGTTAAAGCAAGGAATCTGACAGTTGATCAAACAAGTATGGAAATGGAAATTGGCCAGGCAGGTCTTCCAGTCAGTACCCCTGCAGCACCTTCCATCTCTCCACTGGCTTTGCAAGATACAGTACAAGATCCAGCTCCTGCTGAACAGTTTTCAAGCCTCTTTCCCACTGTGAGGACTAGGAACTTGTTCCTTTGGAGTAGGGAAAAGAAGGGGGGAAAAAGAAAGGAATTTTGAAAGGGGCCATTGCAAGAGTGTGTGAACAGACGACCGCTGTGAGGTCCCCGTTCTTACTTGGCCTCCAACGCGAGAGCAATCATGCCGGCTACCAAGGGGGCCGAGGCAGAGGTGCCTGTGTGCCGGCTGGTGCAACTGTGATGCAGGTCAGTGGTCACCTAGAAAGGAACAAGGCGCATTAATCAGCTAAAAGCAAGTGATCCTCTTCCTCAGGACACCTCCTCTTTCTGTTCATTGTGACTTTCGTGTCTCCCTTCCCAGCAAGTCCTGTGATGCAGGTCGTGTTGTCCTCCCCACTTCAAATCTCTGGGCATCTAGTTCTCAGTTCCTGACTACCCTTGCCCTTCCTCCAGTCAGCACATGCTCAGCAACTATGTACCATGGCCTCATCCCTCCTTCAGCAATGTGACTTCCTGGAGGAAACATACAAGACAAAAGGAAGTAAAGAGACGTATTTCCTCAGAGCTGTTAAATGGGAAAGGGTGGTGAGAATGAAGGAATACCCGGCGTTTGAAAATCTGCCGAGTTCTGCTGGGATGGAGCCTTCCTGGTGGCTCTGGCCCAAAAGGACTATGCAGGCTGGTTGGTTTGTTTTTGCATCTCAAGGCATATACAGTGTGAGCATTTTTAAAGTGCTGTAACTTGGGAAAAGGCAAAAATCCTCCTTACTGCTCACAGGTGTCAAAGAGCAGAGGATTTGGGTGGGAGGGGGAATTCTATCAATCATGCTCTTGGCAGCAGGAGTTTCATTTCCAACTGGCGCAGGGAAACCTAGATCTGATGCACCTGGCAGCCAACTCAAGGTTTCTTAAAGGGTCACCCTCCTTCTTTGGCTCCCCCCATTTCCCCCAGCTAGCAAACATTTGGTAGATGCTCGGACGTTGTGCTGTTTTTCCTGTTTACAAGACAGAAATGAGTCTTGTTGAGACCCAGGACACACCAGGGACATGGGATCTACTTTGGTTTTTTACTTAAAACTCCTGCCCCAAGGTCCACCCACCACAGTCCAACCACAAAAAGCCACATACTCCAAATCTTTAAAAAGCTCAGAGCCAAGGGACTGGTCCTTGTGTTCCGGAGCTGAACAGAATGCATTTTCCCTGCACACAAATGGTTGGGAGCAGTTCTTGCTGCTCTTCTCAAGCTACACTGAGTTGGAAATTGTAGCTGATCCAGTGCTTACTGCTCAGGGATCTTCCAGTTAGAAGATCTGCCCCCGCACCCCATGGAGGGGGAAAAACCACTTCACATTCCAGGATCCCAGGCTCACAAGAGACAGGATTGGACCATCATCTGAATGGGAATTAGTGTCCTGTGATACCAGGGACGGCCTCCCAGCCCCTTCCAAGCCTACTAATCTATGACACAATAAACACCATGGTAAAACCGCTTACCTGCATGGTCACTGGTCTGTGACCCAGCACAAGCATAGTTAAAACACTTTCTACATGCACACACCAACCGCAGGGGGATCCAAAGCACTTAAAAGTGACACATGCAAAATACCAAGTCTACATTCGGAAAACAAGTGGAACCACCCTTTAGTGCCTGACAAGCCATCATGGTTATTCCCTTCACCTCCAGCAGATGGCAGTACTAAATCACTTAAGAACAGGGGTGCAGAAACTCAGGCCTGGGGTGGCACACCCAGCCCTCCTGGGGCTGCAATCCATCCTGAGGGGCTTTCTCCAGATGGCCACACTGTCTTTCCCACTGAACAGCACTCGTTCAATGCCTTTCCAGCTTTTGACCCCTGTACCCTAAAAGGTCAAAATGCCTAAGGCTTAAGCCAGTAAGAGCTTTCCAATACAACATACTGGTATTTTGTCCCCGCAAAACAGAAATACGCCCTGGGATTGAAAGAGTTTCTGCACTCCTGCATGAGAACAGAGCTGGACTGGATGAGGCCAGACCACCTATGGGAGTGAAGCGCCTCCCTCCCACCTGGGCTCCCTGGAACTGGTAGCAACTTATCCTGGATATGGAAAAGCCTGCAAGACCCCCACGTGTCAATTTCTGGCAGTTATGCTGGGAGCCTCTGACAGAGCTCTGTGGAAGACAATTGGCTGCGAAAGTCAAGCAGAACCTCCGCACACAGGAGCAGACTTCCTAGGGAAACACAAGGCTGGGCGAGGAGTGGCGGAGGGCTTCTGGCCTCATGCCCGGCTTACAGCCTTCCTGCTGGACCCCCGGTCAGCCACCTTTGGAAAGTGAGGGGCCAGCCTTTGGCTGATCCAGCCCAGCTCTCCCGGAGCCGTAATCCGAGTGCACAGAAGCAGGCCTCACAATTTGCTGCTCGCCCTTTGAGCCGCTGCTGTAGGTCGTGGTGAGGATGGAGGCGCAGGCCTCGGTGTACCAGGGCACCCGGCCACTCTGGGTGCTGCTGCCCACGGACAAGGTGTAGATGCTGTTGGCATAGCCGTCCAAGTTGCAGTTGTCGTGACGCAGGCCGCCATTTCCTGAGGCCCAGACGAAGAGGGAGCCCAGCCCTCCGCGGCCCTGTGGCGGAGGTAGACGTGAGGACCAGCCCCAGCTAGCAATGAGAGGGTGGTGGGGAGAGGAGGTGCACTGTGCCGGAGCCCTACTCCCTACCCAAAATGGCCCTCCAGTCCACCAGAGGCCCACTGGCTGGAGAAGAGCACAACAACCCCCCCCCCACCCAGTGTTCCCTGCTACACTGCCTCCAACACAGGGCATGAAACAGCACTTTCCAGCCACATCTGTGTGCATTTGCCTAATTGCCTTCTAAAGACAGCTTCCAAGGTGGTGAATTTTCCTGGGAGGGTGAGGGGCAGGCTAGTGGAAGTCACAGACCAAACATTAGCAGTAGTGGTGCACTCCATTTGCCCCGAGCCCTAACCCCCAACGCACTTCAGGGTCAGCCTAATCCCACCAAGCCCGGGAACCTGCATGCCCCCCTCCACTTGCTGGGCACCACGACAAGGAACATGGGTTGGGAGCAGAGAATGGCAGCTTCCCAGGACAGAAATATTCCCTTTTGAGGAGTTGGGGTTTGGGTTTTTTTAAGCCCCTAAAGAGTGCTGAAATAACTTCCCCCTTGAAACAATGACAAAATTCTCCCTTCCTTTATTTTCACCCTAGTTTTGAGCCACACATTTTGAACTTTGGTTCAGCCTTAAAAGGCGAACAAGGGAAGTCACAACTGGAGAGTCCAAGAAAACTGTCCCATTGTTCCTTCAGAACAGGTGTGCTCTGGGCCAGGGAGGTTGAGCTTACAGTGGTGATGCCCCTGTGGAAGGCTTCCATGGCCAGAAATCCAGGGCCATCTACTGTTTTCCCATCATCCTCAGGGCCCCAGCTGGCACTGTAGATGTGAATATGTTGAGGCTGCAGGCTCAGGGACCGGGCCTCCACAATATCGGTCACAATACCGTCCAGCATTCTTACTCCTGCAGGGGGGAGAAAGAAAGAAGGAAGGCAAGGCGGAGGGGAGGAAGGATGGAAGAGGCAGGGGTCGCCATGTTGGTTTCTGAGGACACACTCCCCTTCTGGTGACACCAACCCCCAGTCCTCCCTGGCTGCAGCAGACCCTCATCCTGGTCTAATTCAGCCCCACCTGCATTCCCGGAAGATAGTCCTTACCCTGTGTTCCCTTCAGGCAGAAGAGGCCCCAGAGCACCTTGCAAATAGGAGCCTGGAAATGAGCTGAGCACTGACGCCACTTTTCCCGGGCCCCTGCCCCACGCACCATGCCATGGTGGCTGCCATGTTGGGGGGGGGGGTGCTTGGAACAGGGACACTATTTGCCATCAAGGGCAAGTCGTCCTGCTTTCCAGCAAGTCTGGCCATTGGTCAGACTTGCTGAGGAGAATTTACACAGGAGTGCAGGCTCCAGCCTCAGCCAGGGGTTTGTCCCCCTCCAGAGATAATCCTGAGCAAATTAGACTGGCTGTCAGACTTGTTAACGCCTGCAGGGGCGGAAGAGCCAGCAAGAAGGATGTGCTGCCCACAAGGTCTGTTCAGGTGAATACTGCAGCACCGGCTGGCATGTTGAAGCTCCGTGCGGAACCCGGAACCCGGAACCCTTCCTCACCTGGATTCTCAAACCTCAGAGAGACAATCTGGATTTCTGACCTGCTCCAGCTATTTCCCTGAACACACACCCTGCATTTTCCCTAAGTATGAAACAGGCCAGGCTTTCCTGGAAAGGGAAAAAGTTTACTTGCCCCCAACTTTCGCCCGGTAAGCAATGCCGGCGCCACAGAAATCATTGTTGGCTGTAGCGGCCACTTCTCCAGCACAGCGTGTCCCATGCCTGGAAAGAAACACAGAGCAATGGGGCAGTGGCTCCTGGGATGCTGGAAGTTGTAGGAACAATGTAAAAACAGGATTGGATCTAGTCCAACATCGCTGGTCCACCTATGTTTATGTGGATAACTGATACATTCAAATCAAATTCTTTTCCATGGTTTTGTTTTTCTGAAACTCTCATAACTAGGAAAACTTACCTATTCTCCTCCTCAATGGTGTAGTGTGGCTGGGGGTCCGGATCGTTGTCATTGAAGTCGTAACTTGCCTTGGGATCCTGAAAGCGAAACACACAGACTGGGAATGGTCACGAGCACTCCTCTCCAGAGCGAAGAAAACTCGGTTCAAAGCAGACCCACTGATGTACAGAGGAACCTGGCAAATCCCACATGTCTGTATCTCTGGGATGTTTTATGGCACTGCTTTGTGAAGCCAAGCTGAAGGTGCCGAGGTTCACAGCAGCAAAGCCAAAGAATCGATGACGGTACAAGGTAGCTAAAGTGGAATCAAAGACTCCCGGGGCAAAGGTCATGCAGCCCCACCCCATCCACATGTGATAAACGTGGCCTCAGAAACCAGCCCTCAGGTGGCTGCCCTGCCAGTGCTTAAAAGCCTCCGGAAAAGGGTAGGCAACCAACCCCGAGACAACCCAGTTGAACACATCCCTCTGCCACAGGACTCAACAACCAGTCAAAGCCTACTTTTGAACCCACCAATTCGAGGCACGCCTACTGGACCACAACAGAGCCTCTCTGTATGTGCATGTCATATATGCACCCCACCCTTTTTCCTGCCAGGATCCCAGGACAGCTTACCCTTTTATCCTCACAACCACCCTGAGAGGCAAGCAAATCTGAAGGTCACAGGCTGGCACTAAGTCAAGTCACCCACTGAACTCTGTGGGGTGCAGGAGGGAGTCGAACCCAGATCTCCTGAACCCCAGTACCACACTCTAACCACCACGCCGGTTCAGCTGTCCTTAATTTTGGGACATCTTCTATCCCTAGCCCCACACTTTCTTCTTGGGCCTGCCCTCCACTGGAATAAAGCCCCCAAGTACTTTCTGAAAGCAACTGGGCACTGCTGTTCTACAGGCCTCAGACCTGTGCCCCCCAGATACCAGGCCCCATTTCTACATACATAGTTTGCCACAAGGTCAGGATGGTCTCGCTCAATCCCGTCATCCAGAACGCTCACGACCACCCCAGCACCTGTGTAGCCCTGGCTCCACACACTGAGCACATTGAGGTCTGGAAGCACGTCGTCGTTCTGCAACAGAAAAAGCGGCACTCTGGGAGACACTGCTTCTCCCTTCCCCATCGCTTGAAGAGCCGCGAGAGGCAAGAAAAGGAAAGGAAAGCTTATTCGCACATCTAGAAAATGGGCCCGTGAAGGGACAGAGTTTTGGCAGAAGGGGCTGTGGTCTTTTCCTGGGAGGAGTCACGGGTCTTTCCCAGAAAGCCTCAGCCAACTGAAACCTATCTCTCCAAGTACTGTGTGTGTGTGGGGGGGGGGGGGGGGGGGGTCAGCAAGCTCATCCCCGGATGCTCCGGCCTCCTGGTCTACCCTTTCTGAACCCACTCCTACCTGCCCTGTTCCACCCCCGGGCCTTCCTTCCCTGCCATCACTCACCAGGTACCATTGCTTGCGGAACCATGGGTCAGTGGGGACTGCCGAGATCTCCCGCTTCTGCCTCTTCTTCAGCGTCTGCTGCTCAAACCAGGTGATCTAAAGCCAAAAGGCACATCAGCACACCTTTTCCCCCTTGCTCTGTTCACCTTAGCCAACCCAGCACTCTCCACATATGCAGACCAACTAGAAGCTGCAATGGAGGCAAACGGGTCCGGATTTCTCCAAGTCTGCCCAACGGGTTCCTCGGGGGACCAGCTTTCTCAGCTCACAGGGTCATCTCTTGAGGCAATTGGTGGGACAATGCAGGACCCAGAAAGGGGAGACTTTATTTATTTGGGATACTTCTAGGCAGTCCACTGACTCCGAGTCTCTGCACGGCTCACTGGACATTCTTCATCCAGTGCATAACTAAATTCTGGAACTCGCTTCCTTGAGACATTGTGGCAGCCACCAATTGCAGGGGGCTTTAAAGGGGGACTGGACAAATTCCTGGAGGAGGAGAAGGCTATCATGGTGGCTAGTCCTGATGGTTCCAGGATCAGAGGCAGTGTGCGTTCATGCCCTGCTGGAGGGCTTCCTGCAGGCAGCTGCTCTGCAAACAGGATTTTGGGCGAGAAAGGCTGGCTGTGGCATACTGGCAGTTGTCAGACTTTGTACTATAAGTTAGAACATTTCTTGGCCACCTTCCAGGACAGAAGCAACCAAACACACAATAAAAACCAATGCAGTGATTTGTTTTGTTGAAAAGATAAAACCACAACAAAAAGCAATAAAAACGTAATAACAATGGCAAACATTTAAAAAACTATAAAACAAAGGATTGTGCCTCCTTTGTGCCCAACACTGGTTTTGCCAGTGGTTCAGTGGAGGACAGCGAGGAGTCGGCAGCAAGGAAATTGAGCAGAAGGGGAGAAATCGGCCCCTCCAGCTGCCAAAAGAATTAATTTCCCCCTCTTCCCTCTTCATTCCCTTTTCCTTGCCTGTTGTGTCTTTTTGGATTGAAAGTTTGTAGGCAGGGCCTGGATTTCTTTTACTGCTTATGCGTTTGGATGCTATGAGAGCCTTCTTTTGGCTGGGGATTTGGAGGGCGGGAATACTGGTAAATAAATTACTAAAAGCCCTCTGAGATATGGTTGGAGAAAGCCGGTATTGCATAGCCCAGACAGCAAATGACCAAGCAGTGGTGGGGGAAAGCATCAGCGCTCTCCACAACAGGAAACAGTCCTTGTGTCTCAGAGAAAATGGCTAAGGACAGCAGAGCAGGCCTGTCTGAATGGACTTCAGATGCTTTCAGAGCGATTCTTCCTGACCGAACAGTTTGGAAGCAGGACCACTAACTCAACTTGTGCTTGCTGTGGGCCTTGCAGGGGCTGGTTCTCACTCTGGTCTGGCCTGCATTGAGGAGGGGGCTGGACTAGAGGGCCCCTAAGCTGCCCACCCCAAGTCTGGGGTTCTATGAACTGACCTGTGGCTCTCTCTTCAGGCGTCTATGCCAACCCATGTGCCGCCTCAGAGACTTGCTGGTGCCTCTGTGCCTCAGGTGGTAGTAAGGCTGCCCGTCAATTACCTGCAAGGGCAGAAGGAAGGAGCATGGGGTTTCAGAGCAGGCTTCCCCAGACCTTTGGGTCTGCTAGCAAATCGTAAGAGAGTGCTTTCACAAAATGGCTTGCCCATTCATAAAAATGGCTCTTTTATGCTCAGCAGACTTTTAAAGACCCCTTAAAACAGCAATCCCAGATGGGCACTGAGAGAGGCATCCATGGGCACATCAGCACTCCCTGCCGCGAGCCCTGAAGAAAAGACGGGGAAGATAGGTCCACACTTCACGAAGACGTCTTTTTAAAAGGCTGGATGAGAGAAGAGGAACAGCAAAAGGGGGAATTTGGAAGAATGGGTTTGCTTTCTGAAGGCAGTAGCCACTCCCAGCTCCCTGGAATAGCTTTTCATGAGTTGTCGTTCTTCACTGGTTTATTCTGTTGCAGCTGTCCCAGCAGACTCTGCAAAGGAGGAGCCAGCGTGGCCAGTGGCTAAGAGTGCTGGCGGGTGATTGGCTATTTGGAACTTTCTTGACAGGATGTATATTTAATAGGCACACTCTTAATAACCTGAAGCTGCCCTCCCTGGGTTGATGAGCTGAGTGAAGCATAAATCTTTTAAAGGAAAAAGGCATTACAGAAGTGCAGCCCTGCCAATTGGTGCATTGTGTGCAACACCAAGCTGAAAATCAGGGAGGAGGGGGACTTTTAAACTATTAAAGGTTCTAAAAATGCCATTAAAAGCAGGAGGCAAGGCCCAACCCCCCAGGGGTCTCCAAATGCCCCTTCCTTTAGCCCTGCCTGCCTTACCCCAACCACCAGCTGCTTGGGGGCTTCTTTGTGCTACCCCCCCCCCCACACACACACATTTGAAATGGCTGAAATGCCTCTCCTAAGGCTTAGCCATTAGCAGCAAGGGTTTGAACCTATAATAGGCATCTGTTCAGCTTCATCCTCTTCCACCCGCCATGGGAATGAGGCTCCCAAGCACATTTCATGTGACTTCAGCCCTGGGGCTCAGAGGTTCCACACCCAAATAAGGACAACGTGGGGCTGAGCTGGGTTTGCAGCAATGGGTTCCTAACCCACAGTGCATCGGCCATATCAACCAGTAAGAATAACCATCTTATTACCAATATGCCTGTGCAAAAATATACATACAGTCTCTCTCAATTCAAATGCTGAAGGAAGAGCACTTGCAGCACAGGGAACCAGAAATGTATGTTCACTACAGATGTGCTCTGGGTTCCAATCACAAGTCCTGGGTAGGGCCTGGAATTCAGCGGGGATGCAAGGTTAAAATGCACAGGCAGAGCGGCAATCCCACAACTCTGAAAACTGCCCTCATCCTGAAACACCAGAAGGGGATGCAACTGCATTCCACCCAGTTGTTCCTTCTCCATGCAAAAAGCTAGCCTGTGGGCAGGGACAGGTTAGGTACTGAAAAGGCCCACAGGGCAAAAAAGTACAAGTTTGTATTTGCTAATGTACATATGCCCTAAAGCCAGTGTGTGGGGCTGGAGGGGGCTTTTTAAAAGACTCTGCCTCCTACGATCATCCCTCTTTGGAAAATGAGGCATATGAACAGAGAAGAGACCATGTGAGTTCAGAAAAATGCCCCAAGCAGTCTGTTTTTATTTTTATGGGAGGCATTTATTATATCCTCAGATGCTACCCAGTCAGGCTTTTTAAAGGAATACAGAAACGAAACGGTAGAGCAAGCTTGGCCAGGCTGTTCCCCATACGTTCTCAGACACGCCCTTTCCTTGCTCAGGTGAGCCCCCCACCTGTTGCTCCTCCAACAGGTTTTGGGGCTTGTCTCTCCTCTCCCTCACCTGGCCCTGGTAGAACACCCGTGCCTGCGCTTCGGGCACTGTGCCTCCTGTTCTGAACTTGAAAAAGGCACTCTGCCTATGTACAGAGGCAGCTTAGTCAGGTTTGAAGAGGCGCGAAAGGAGCCAAGCTCCCCGTCCTTGCTCAGACGAGCCCCTGCACCTGTTGCTCCGCAGCAACGGTAGTGGGCGGCCGCTCCCCTCCCTCACCTGGCCCACATATTGCAGCCCGTGCCTCCTGGCCAGGCGCCGCGCCTCCTGCGTCCCGGCGGGCACGTGCACTGCCCAGCTGCTCAGGTAGACAGGCGGCTTCGCGCGCTCGCAGCACGACCGGCCCCACAGCAGGACCAGCAGCAAGAGCAGACTAGCCGCCGCCGCCGCCCCGCACCACATGGTCGCTCGTCGCCGGGGCGCCGCGGCAGCGCGCCGGCCCTTATAGGCGAGCGCGCCCTCGCACCCACGCCCCGACCCGCGCCCTCAATTTTCGCGCCACGCCCGCCCGGCCTGCGCGCGGCGTGCTCGGAGGACGCGCGGTCGCCACGGCAACGGGAAGCCGGCGGGGGACTACGCATCCCGCGGGGCAGTGCGCAGGCGCGCCGCTGCGGGAACAGCTGGCTGTCCCGCGAGGCCTCCTGGGAATTGCGGTTTTCCCGCGGCAGCGACCAGGAGGTATTAATTGTGCATTCGTTTATAACACTAAAACCACGTGTTTCTTTTGATTTTTGCACAATTTCATTTACTTCGTTTCTATACCTCCCAGGGGGCGAAGCTCTCCTGGTGGCTTACCGAGGTTAAAACCTTAAAAACATGTGAAAGAAACCATGTGCCTACAAAGAGAGAAGCATGCAACATACGGAGACACACATTTATCTGTAGAATATTTGTATATCATAAAATTGTAAAATAAAAATGTATACCATAAAATCAAAGCAGATGTTTGTTGCATTTAGATCTGAAAACTCCTCACAACAAAAATTATTTTTCCAAACTACCATGCTCCAAGCTTGAATGAATTTATCTTTACTTATTTACTCTAAAGATAGAAAGCCCTTTCATCTCTGAAACTCATTTTGGCATGCAGAGTTTCCATCATGGTCCTTCGTTTTCTCCTCAGAAGAACCCTGCAAGGTAGTGTGGTCTAAGACTAAGAGGTTGGTGCCAGGTTGCCCTCTGGCTTTGGTGGCTGACTGGGGAGCTGCACCTGCATCTCCCTAGTACTTGTCAGACATTCTGCTTTGCACCAGCTATAAAATAAGTATAACCTGATTTCATGGCTGCCATTGAGACATGATGTGAAGATCTTAATGTTTTCCCTCTTCCCTCCTCCTCCTGTTTTCCTTGCATGTTGTGTCTTTTTGCTCACAATCCTTTGGGCAGAGATTGCCTTGTGCTTTCCACAACACTGATTGAGGGGTACTGGCTGGAGTCCTAGATGGAGGCTTAGGGGATCTGAGTCCTGGTTTTCACTTGCCTGTGGAACTTACGGTGCAGCTTTCATCACTCACTGACTCTCAGCCTAACTTACCTGCCAGGGTTGTTGTGAGGATTAAACTGGAGAGGAGGAGAAGGTGTTGTGAGCAGCCTTTGGGTTCCTTGCAGGAAGAAAGGCAACTTGGAACATAAGGAATAAGATAAAACCCATGAGCATTATTCAAAATAGAAAAGATCCCCCCGCCCCAGCTCACACACACAACACCATGTTAAAAAGACACTTTTAAAAGGAAACCTTACTATATATAAAAGGAACCAAACATATAAAGGTGCTTTGGGATAGGTTTTGGGAAAGGTTCTTTAAAGACTTTAGTAAAATATTGAATTTAAATATTGCAGTTGATCCTGGATTAGCATTATTGCCATTATTTAGAGCACAGATGGGACAAAATACTAAAGAATTGATGATAAATTTATTAAGAGCAGTAAGATAAATGATAGCAAGGAATTAGAAAATAAAAGGTGAATATCATATAGTTGACCGGTATGAAGAAGTTGAGAATATAGCTATTAATGATAAGTTAATTTGTGATATTAAATGGAAAAAGGTTTGGTAAGTGAAAACAAATTTGAAAATATTTGGAGACCTGAATATGTTTTAATAAAAGAAAGGGGGTGTATTCTTCATTACAAGAATAATGAAGTGGGATAACCTGAATGAATAAATGATCTTTGATTAAGCAACTAGAGTTGTTGGTGCTGGTGGAGGTAGCACTAACATTGATGTATTGTTTAACTATGTTTATTAATAATGTTCAATTATATGTATTGTTACTATATTAATTGTATTGTTTTAATTTATGTTTAAAAGGAAACCTTAAAAATTGGAAAACAAATTTTAATTCCAAAAGAAGGCCCGCATAGATCTAAAAAGCAGCAGGCTCTGGCGCTCCGAGGCTTGGGAAGATTCCCCGAGGAAGAGCTCCCGCGCTGGCCTCCCGGCTGGCAGGCAGACAAACCGCTCCTTCCTCCTCCCCTTTCCACGTGGCCTCCAGAGCGCACCTGCCCGCAGCCGCCTGCCGTGACAACGTCTTCGCTACCTGCGGCCCCGCCGCCGCTCCCCATTGGCCCCATGTCCCAGGAAGCGGGGTCTACCCACCTGGTAGCTCCGCCCCTTCGCTAAGCGCTCGGCGCGTAGAGGTCGCGGACTGGTTGGTTCGGTTCTTTCCGTGGCCCGTGCTCGCCATGGGCTCCGAGCGGGGCCGCTTCCAGGCCTTGTTGGACGAGCCCGGCTGGTTGGGCGACCTGCTGGGCTGCCTGGAGAACTTCACGGGCGTCAAGCGGTTTTACCTGGCCACAGGTGGGTTGCCTCCTCTGGACTCGGACATGTCTTCGAGGACTCTGCCCATGCTCAGAGGCACTTTTAAATGTGATGTTTCGTTGAGGTGGTGACTAGATGACCGGCAAAACTTTAGCGCTGCAAGCCGAGTCTACTCAGAAGTAAGGAGAGAAAACAATTGGAGTCTTAATATTCTCAAATAGGAGGCAGGCCTGCTTTTCATTTCTATTTTTGTTTTAATTTGGTTGATTCATTCTTTATTCTTCCTTTCATTATCCTTTTCTTTGAATTGTTTTTGGCTGTTCAAAAGTTTTATATGAGTTAATCCTTGCAGGTGCAAGGGTCTTTTAAAAGTTGAATTATTGTTATTAAAACCTACTAAACTTAAAAATATTATAGGGACTTTAAATTTATGACTGAAATTGCTACATTTTGTGAACATATCTTTGACAGTATATTTACTTTCATTTTTATTATTAATTCATTTTCAATGTATTATTAAAATTACTCTTTTAATTTAAAAAAAAAATTGCAGTGAGGGGGAAGGCTGGGTCAAGATCTGGCCCGGGCATCCTAAGCTGCTGGGAATCCTGCAGCTTAGAGTAGTGGCCATTAGCTGCACTGTCTATTTTTAGATTGTAAGTAGCTGGGGTGCTGCTTCAGGTTCTTTTCGTTCGGTTTGGTGTTTTAGTCATAGTCATGGAAGCTGGAGTGGTGTAACATTCATACAAACAGTGACAACATTGCTGCCCCAATCCCTTGTACAATTTACATGAGTGTAAAGGGTGGTTGATTTTTTGTGGGGGGGAGGAGTATCCATTGGAGGGATTCCATGCATACATTATCAGGGTTGGAAAAATAGGTCCTTCCCTCTTCCTTTCCTTTCCCAGCCACTTGCTTATCTGTCTTCCACTGCAGCCAGCTCCCCCTCTTCCTGGATCCAAGGTTTTTCAAGGAGGGAGCCATGTGTGCCCCCCCCCCCGCCAGCCTGGCAAAGCGCCCCCCCTTTACATGCAAGGACCCTGGGTGAGCAGGGCCCATCTTCGGTGGTATTTTTTGCCACCCCCCTTTTCGGTGCCCATGCTTTCCTTGCACACCACTTGCCCTTTAGCTTTGAGCAAACTAGCCTATAGGGAGTCAGGTTCTATTATCTGATACAAGTGCAGGCAGAGCACTTGTATCAGATAATCCTCAGTGCACACTTACCCAGCTGTGAAACAAAGTTTGCAATTTCCAGTGGGCCAAGGAGGGAAGGGAAGGGAAGGGACCCGGCCATCTAAGGCCTCAGCAGTAGATGGCCTATTAATAAGTGTATAAATAGATAAAATTGTGCCCTGATTCTTTGGCAGTGAACATAACAGGAGAGCTCCTAGAGTGAGGAAGGGGAGACAGGTCTGATTCTGCTGCAGAGGATTCTGGGAGGGGTGCCAGAACCAGCTGCAGGGAGTGGGAAGAAACCAGTCCCTGAGACCAGTCATCTGTTGAATGCACTGTGCATCATGCCGTGACCAGTCAGCCAGCTGAAGCATATTCGTGGCTAAGCTTGACTAGCAGACCTGCCCAGGTGCCCCCAGTACCTGCTATATACCTGTCCTCTGCTCCTTTGAGTACCCCAGTTAGCAAAGGCACTTTTCACACATGCCATTTCTCCATGAATTACCTCCAGGACTATTGCTGTGGAAACATATTTGTTAGTACCTAAGACATGGTGTAGAGCCGATGTGGCATAGCAGTTAGTCCTCGCTCATCCTTAAGGCCAAGCACAGGCTGTCAGCGTAACCTACTTCACAGGGTTGTTGTGAGGATTAAATGTAACCTTGTTACAGGGGTTCCTTGCCAGAGAAAGGCAGGCAGGTTGGAAATGTAATGTAAGTATAATATGGGAAAAGTCCGTGGTGAAGCACTTGTGCTGCTCGTCCCCAAACTCATCCTGCTGCTGCTGCTTCCACTTTCTTCCCTCCCACTGAATTCTCTCTCTGTGCCCCCCAGGTCCCTCCATCAGAGACTCTCTGCATGGGGCATGCTCATTTCCCTGCACGTGAATGGGGCTTGCATCCCTAGGGCACCTTGCTGGAATATGGGAGCTTTCCAGTAATGGGAAAGAAACATTTATAATGGGAGGGGAACTGCAGAAAGCCGGGGATGCTGGAAAGGCAACTGTGGGGAAAAGCCAGTTCAAGTCACTGCTCTTAGCTCAAAATGGCCTGGCATTATCTGACAGTGGCCCAACTGGGCTCCATGCTCTCCACGCCAATGAGGACGACTGAAGACAGCGTCTTTGCCTGTGGGGCTGCTGATCCTAAACTAGTCTGTCTGGTTTGCCGCAGAGAAACCGTGTTGCAACCACCGAGCTTGTGGAGGCTCTTGCGCAGCTTCCCTCAGCCAGTTGTGCCCCTTCTTTGAAGTTATTCACTTCTCTCTTCTGACTGTTCCCCACTGCTTGTTCCTGCCTGTTGGAGGTAGCCTAGCAAAAGGATATTGGTGCAGCGGGCAGTGAAGCTGCCATCTGCTGCCAGAGGAATCGTGTGAGGTTTGGGCAGTGGAGTCTCATGAGATGCCATGCTCAGGCTTGGTTGACTGCACCACCCACCTGACCTCCTCGGGGGAATGGTGCTCTCCCAAACTTCTCCTGCTGCTCCTGTGGAGGCCCACTCTTGGGATCACAGAACCCTGTTTGGGCATGTAAAGGTCCCAGCTTGGTGGGGCTGGAACTTGAGGGGCGCTGAGACCTGCCCATAAGGAAGTTTGAAATCCTTTGCAGGGGCACTAAGGGTCACCTGAGATCCACCCTGGGATGGAGAGCTGTGGGAACCTGCTGAGATTGGGTGGCTCAGGCAGGAACCAAATGTGCAAGAGACGCAATATTGGTATGAGAAGCCAAGCTAGCCCGTTTCCACCAAGCTAGAGCAGGGCCAGGCAATGTGCAGATCACGTGGGGCCCCTTCCAAACTGAAGTAGCCACCGTAGCGTGAGCGGCAAATCCACTTTGCTTCTTTCTTTCATTTCTTGCTGCAGGCAGGAGTCTTGTCCCTGGCGAGGCCTGCTTGGGAGGGGTTAGAAGGTGGCCCCAGCACTCCCCAAGTTTCCCGCCCCTGCTCTGGACTGAAGCTCCTCCCCTGCCTCCATTTCAGCCTATTCAGAATACCTGTGAATGAAGAAAGTGGCTGGCAAGTCATAACCCAGGACTGCTGTCCACCTCATTCTTGCCAAGTTAAACTGATGGGGGGGGGGGGAGGGAACCCCCAGGAGCCCAGAAACCAGTTGAGATTGATCAGATGACAGAACTAGATCAAGGTCTCAGGGGTGGGGCAATATAGGGACTGCAGGGGCTGGCATGGCTACTGCACGGAGTGTCCTTGCAGTGCCAGGGAGGAAGGAAACTGGGGGAGCCAGGCAAGGGGGTTCATGGGAAAGAGCTGTGATATACATACACCAGTCCTAGGAGCCAGAGGCTCTCCTGGGAACAGGTGGGTATGACCTAGAGAGGATCACGGAAACATGGTGCGGATGCAAAGCGGGGCTGGAATGTCAGCGTAGAGGGATAGACTCTGTTTAGGAAGGACAGGAGGGGAAGGGGGGGCTCTGCTATATGACAGGGAAGGGATAGGGTGCAGAGCGATGGGGGCGGGTAGAAGCGGACCCAGTGGAGGCGATCTGCGTATGACTGATGGGTCTAGACGGGGTGGGAGCTGATAGTGGGGGGTATGTTATTACCCACCGGGTCAACTTGAGACCCCGGACGATGCTCCGAAGGATATCCCAGGGAAGGGACACGGTTACAATGGGAGAGTTCGACCTTCCTGTTACTAGTTAGGAGATGCACTCGGGAGTCGCAGCTGGGTCCTGTCACTTCCTGGAAGTGATGGAGGCAGCAGGTACTTGTTGGTAGCAGTTAAACATGAGCCAGCAGTGTGACGTGGTAGTTAAGAGGGCAAACACTGCCCTTGAATGTATACACAGAAGCGTGGCTTCCAGATCTAGGGAGGTGTTAATACTGCTTCACATGACTCTGGTGCACCCACAACTGGAGGACTGTGTCCAGTTCTGGGCACCACATTATAGGAGAGACACAGCCAAGTTAGAATTGGTTCAGTGCAGTGCAAGGTCATGAGAATGGTAGCCGAGTTGTGGGGGATGACATACACGGAGCGATAGAGGGAGCTGAGTCTTTTCAGCCTGGAGAAGAGGAGACTCCAAGGGAATCTTTTAGCAACTTATATGTATGTGAGGGGATGTCATGTGGAGGAGGGCCATGACCTGTTCTTCCCTGCAGAGGATGGCAGGATGTGTTCCAGTGGAGCAAAGCACAAGGAACCAGGCTTCCGGTTGGATGTCAGGAAGTACTTTCTGATGGTTAGGACCCCTAGGAAATGGCATGGGCTTCCTCAGCAGGTGGGGGGGATCAGTGGGGGCATTCAAGGAAAGATTGGACAAGCACATGTTGGGATTGCATGAGCAGAGCCAGCTGGAGCCGGGGGTCCGACTAGAAGGCCCGGGAGACCCCTTCTGACTCGCTCTGTTTCTATGTTTCTATGTCCCAGGAGTCTCAGCTATTGGGCGGTATAAAAAATGAAATGAACAAATGAATGAAAGGAGGTGTAATCAGGGTGCACAGAGTGATGCCAGGTGTGAGGAAAGGGAGACATTTTTCTCCCTGTCTCATAATCTGGGAACCCAAAAGGGTGACCACCTCCTTCGCATAGCACAGGGTTCAATGATGATGCCATGAGGTCTCTGGTTGATCCAGGAGGACCGTCGTGAATGCTGTTAATGGTCATGGAATGAGATTAAAATCTGTCATTGAAAGACACTCCTTGGAAAGGATTCAGATAGGAGGGAGGGGACTCACCTTCCTCTTCGCTCCTGTGAACACAGTTTGTGCTTAAAAAGCAAGAAAAGGTTTGCTTTATTTCCTTTTACGAAGATCCAGTGCTTCATTCCAGAACCCACCCTGCTCTCCCTTCCTCCTCCTCTTTGTAATGGTGAAATAATGGGAAGCCAAGTTCCCAGGATTCCTCTGG